CGCGATATAAATCGCATTTAGACGGCATGTTTTGCTTCTGTTTTTTTGTGAATTCACGACCCAAATTCGAATGCATTCAAGTGCGAAATTAAGAGAACGTGGCGTTTACATAAACGCATCGAAAATATTTGCTGCGTATGTAGCGTAACGCTTACCTACAAGTATTGCCTTTGAATAAGAAGTTGTGGACGAAATCGGCCTTAATTAAACCCTATAGATACTACAATTAGGTACTACAACTAGGTCTCGACCTCCCCGGTCGGAGACCTAGAGGCAGACCCAAGACAAGGTGGAGGGACGTAGTGCTGAAGGACAAGAGAGAATGCAATGTTGCTGACGAGGATGTCGAAGACAGAGCGAAGTGGAGGAGTAAAGTCAGGAAATCTGACCCCACCACCATGTGGGATAAATAGCTGGGAAGAGAGAGAGAGAGAGAGAGATACTACAATTAGAACACAAACTTGAGCCGCATCCGTAACTGGCTCTGGAATTATCTTCCCTCCTATCTTTTAATATCCTTCGTGTTTGAAAAAGAGTCCAGAGAAGTAGGTAGTAGCTTGGATGTACGTTTGAGATAACTTGTGAGTGACGGTATGCAACTACCATTGCGAGCTGCCAGATAAATAAAATTCTTTCAGTTATTAATTTTTTTTTAATTAATTCAGATTATAATTTCCAAACACAGTTATTGAAAATCACAGTTATACTGAAGAAACCTGCTACCAGTTCTTGGGAATCATCCGCTGCGTCGAACAAAATTGGTCTTGGTGATTATTTTATTTTATTCTATGCTATAATTATTAATTGTTTACATATTTCAACTTACGTCATTCCCGATAATCCTGGTGAGAAGTTATTCAAATAAAACTAGTTTATTGTTGCAACAAAGTTACGCTATCTAAAGTTGAAGTCGCTTACGTGCTATTGGACGCGATAACTCTTGGTTGTGGAACTTAAAAACAAAAAAATACGCTTTAATATGTTTTACACGGAACTAGCATGCAGATAGTTGACCGACATATCACATAATCTATGTATTAATACGTGAAGCAAAAACCTTGTATCCCTTTTTACGAAAATTGCGCGGACGGAGGAGTATGAAATTTTCCACACTTATAGAGAATATAGAGAAGAAGTGCACAATGCTAATATTTTTTTAAAATAATGCATAAAAGATACATTAAATCAATAAATAAAACATTACACACACTACATACATGTATTTGACGCACACACGCATGCATACTATTTATTGTCAAACTTTTGTTCTTGACGTCTGTGGTCAAATTGAGAATAGATTAAATATTGTTTGTCTTTATTAATATTTTTTATAGTGTAGTCTTGGCGAAATTTGTGATTATAGAAGTATAAAATACAATCATAATAGTTTACAAACTTACAATTCCAATAAATTAGTCGAATTTCGACTACTGCGGGACCTCTAGTCTTAAATTTGACAAATTTTAATGTCTTCTTATTTAAACTAGTTTAAATTAAATTAGTATATAAATCTCGATACTTCAGGAACTCGGCATCAAGCACCGTCTATTTGCTATATTAGGTATGTTGCTATAGTAGGTAGGTAGGTAGTTATGGTGGATTTCTTAGGACACGTTTCGCGACGAGATGGCCGGTTCATAGAATGCCTCGTTGTACAGGGAAGCGTTGATGGTACAAGACTGCGCGGGAGGCCACCAATGCGGTGGACCGACCAAATTAAAACTGCAGTGGGAGGTCCCCTAAATGAGTGCAATAGAATGGCCTCGAGCAGGGAGAGATGGCGCGACATCGTGAGACGCATCAAGTCTGCCCCTTCCAACACTACATGACGATCACGACCACTCTGTCAAGAGTGAGACGATTGAGAAGAAGAAGAAGTATATAAATCTACAGTGGTCTTTACGGATGTTCCGTTATAACTACTGAACCATGCATCCGATTGACTTGAAACTTGGTATCCATGTAGAAAATACATGTACTTAATGGATAGGCTAATATTTATATGAATGTTGGACTCCCTAATAATAATGACAATAAATAATAATGTTAATTTTAAATGCCCAGCGAAGCGGGAGAGTACGGCTATTTGTTAATAGATTTGATTGATTTAAATTAGAAATTAAAAATTAAAAACTTCCCCTATACTGAGTTTTATTTGTCTATAGTATTATTATTATTATTATTAAATAAGTATTCCTTATTGCTATAGCAGTTGCACCCGTTAATAAATTAAATGATGGTCCTTATAATTCGCCAATGACAGGTAACAAACAGCCAACTGCCTATAAGTGCATTAAATAGCAATTAAAACTTTGAAGACGTCACTGCGCTCCGGAAATATTCAAGATAGTTTTTATTTAATGTAAGTAGGTGAATAAGCTTACTGTCTTGACGGGGGTTATCGCCGCTCATGGACATCAGAAATGGCACAGCCAAGCCCCTTCCTACTACCTGAGTACGGAGAGTTTGAAGAAAAAGAATTCATTCAATGGTTCTGCAGCCTTCTCCACTTACCATAGTGGAGAATTTATTGAACAATGGAACATGCGGTTCGATATTACTAATTTTAAAATATGACATCAGCTTTCATACATCTGTTTTGTACAGGTGTGTGAAAGGTTGAGAACTATTGCAGTAGACGAACAAACGATGCGTTCAAAACGTCTTCTATTAAATTAAAAGGTGTGTGTGAATACCGTCTTTACCATAAGGGCACACGGGGCCCGTGCCCTGGGCCCCCATTCTCAGGGGGGCCCTAAGGACCGACAATTTCCCTCACACATTTATTCTTAAAACATTTTTTTCGGGCACATTACACTTTTTTCACAAATCAGTAATCTTATCAGAAGGTATTTACAAGGCATATTATATTGATACTACGCCATTATATTGATGACTGCGCCTATTCCTACTGTACTAATTAATAATATTTCCGAACGCATCCTACCTAATTTGCTAAGTACCTACACCATCTAGCAATCGTAACCAAAAAACCAGCAGCATTCTAATATCCTTAATGACATATTATATCATACTGTATTTGATTACCTATAATAAATGGTCATACTCAATAAAAAAATGTTATTATAATTCGCTTTTTTTACTTTCCAAAAGGGCCTCAAATTCTTGTGTGCAAAAGGGCCCGAGCCTAATTTAAGACGTCCCTGTGTGTGTTATACTCATGGTTGTGAGTTAGATATGAATCATCTTTTATCACGTTTTTTTTCCCCTGAATTTGTGGTTCTCGAAAACGGTTTAAATTAATTATTAACGATAAAAACAATGTTCCTTGTTTAGATACTATTTAACTGTAATCAGTATTCAGTGAATATTTGCGGTATGTAAGCATTTTCCCGTACCAATTGTATCTGTGTTCTTCCGGTCGCCATCAAAGAATACGCTTGTAGACCGGACATTATGTCATTGGTTTAAATGGGCATCTATATATTAATACGTGAAGCAAAAAAACTTTGTATCCCTTTTTACGAAAATTGCGCGGACGGAGGAGTATGAAAATTTCCAAACTTATAGAGAATATAGAGAAGAAGTGCACATGCAATTTTTTTTTTTTTTAATTATGCATAAACCATTCATTAAATCAATAAAGAAAACATTACACACACTACATACCATGTATTTGACGCACACACGCATGCATACTGTTTATTGTCAAGCTTTTGTTCTTGACGTCTGTGGTCAAATTGAGAATAGATTAAATATTGTTTGTCTTTGTTAATATTTTTTATAGTGTAGTCTTGGCGAAATTTTTTATTATAGAAGTATAAAATACAATCATCATAGTGTACAAACTTACAATTCCAATTAATTATAGTCGAATTTCGACTACTGCGAGACCTCTAGTCTAAACAAATACATTAAGATAATGATAGGTAATACCTAGGGATGGTAATGTGAGCTTGCTCAAGCTTCAGATGTAAAGTCGATAGTACATTGTGAAAATTTATTCTTTACACCGATGTAGATTCAGAGAAATATGATTTATAAAATGTTTCAAAACTCTCTTTATTTTTTTATCGAGTTTTAAATTTACTATGTATAAGTATACGTATACTATGTATAAGTATACTACGTATAATAATTTACTATATAACACCTTTAATATGAATTCTTGCATAAAATTAAAAATAGCCGTATAAACACTGTTAGTAATCTTAGATATGAGGCCTATAAAATCAAAGGCAGCTACACGCCTTAATGTAGTAAAATGGATTAACTATGGCGCCATCTTGTTTAGTTAGTTGGACACGCTTTAGTATTTTCATGTTATAACAAATGCAGCTAAATTTCTAGCAAATTCAGTTCAAAAAATTTATTTTTACTCTGTACTCAAATACAAACGAAGTTTTATCATATAAAATTCAGATTATTAGTAATATTCTCATTCTTTATAAATCTGCTTTAAAATAAAGAATATTGTAGCTACCCGAACAAAGTTATTTCAGCTTCTCAAACCGGGAGTGTTGCTAACACTGGCTCTAGCAAGAGCAGTACTTCGATGAATCGGGAGGATCCGTAATGACGTGTCTAGGGCCGATTTTTCCTTTTTCCTGAATATTTCACAGACTTGGATTTAGCTGCCTTTGATTTTATAAATCTCATATATTAAACCTCAGAATAAGCTGCTTTCATACTACGCTATAACATAATATCATGTATTATATAGCTCATAGCACCATACATTGTTATGGACGCGTTCACACTGTACTGTACTATATATTATCGGCTAAGTATACGCTGCTATACTACATGGCACTATTGTATAGCATATTCTGAAAGCAGCTTTACTTATAAATTGGTACTTTGTATGCGTGTGTTTTGTTATCTAATCGTTCCATTTAGTTAGTTGAGAATATTTCTCCGAACATAAAATTACTAAAAATTTCAATAAGAAACATCTGACTTATCTGATCCTGCATGATCTTTGACCGGCGCCTGCGCATTTTATAAGCCAATAGAAGTCGCCTAACAATAATCGCAATTGTTTCATCGTCCAGTTGACCGTAAGCCCGCGAGTCGTGAACACGTTAGCGCGCGGTTTTATAATTATTTTTCATCGATCCAAATCTCATTTTGTTAACAAAAATGTTGTTTTTCATCACTGCGGCGGTGCTCTTGGCCAGTGCTGAGGCTAAATTCTTCAAGGATTGCGGTATGAGCTATTTACTTGTTGGTTTTTATATATTTTCAAAAATTACTTATTGTTGCTTACACATGTACATATTTGAAACTATACGATTATTGATGTGAGCAGTGTTGTGTTCAGTCAGTATTACGTACAAGCATTAATTGGCGTATAATTTTACCTACCTTAGAAAGTACTGGAGCGAATGATGATTGAAGGATAACAAACCATCTTTGATTAGCTTTTGATTACAAAATATAGTTTAAGAGTTTTAAATACCAAAAGAAAATTTTATGTACCGCCTACAACAATATTCGCATATTTTAACCAGAGCAATGGGTGTGTTTTTATAAAAATGGACAACGTCAATTAGCCTCGTTTTTTTTTTTGTTCATATTACGTAATTAGTGTAGAAAATAAGGACGAAATATAATAATTGTGATTTCACAATAAAAAATAATCTGAAAAGCTAAACACAATACTGTGGGTAGACAAGTTTTTTTTAGTCTAAAGGGCTATTTCAACTTCACGCAGACCGGTAGGTGAGATCACGGGCTCAACCTGAGAGAATTGCGAACACTAGCCCTAGCAAGAGCAGTGCTTCTCAGAATCTACCACCGGATCGAAATCGCGACCCACTGAGAAAATTCGGTGAGAAACTCAGTGGGTTGATAGACAAGTATCAACGCAAATAAAATTATTGCTTTTTTACGATTAATTGAGAATTTGTTGAAAGGCGTTTACTGGGATAAAGGAAAACCGATTTCTCAGGGAATACCAGAAAATAAGAAAGTCTGGGTAGAACCGAATCCATTATGTTAAAACAATAAACATTCAGTTGAACAATGACAAGATCAGAAGTATTTACTGAAACCATATTCACATTTAAAATTATGTTATTCTATTTGATTTTATTCTATTCCATTATATTATTAATAAATCATTTGTAAAATCATGATACTCGTATTACACTTATAATTTAAGTAAAGACGTTTTGTCTATATTATGAAACTCTTTTGTTGTAAAAGTTTTTTAACTCGAGTTGGTAGGCAGCGGCTTGGCTCTGCCCCTAGCATTGCTGAAGTCCATGGGCGACGGTAACCACTCACCATCAGGTGGGCCGTATGCTCGTCTGCCTACAAGGGCAATAAAAAATAAAAATAAATTTTCCGTGTTATTCTAGTAACAACTTTCAAGAGTTACTGGAGTGAAATAGACAATGTCATTTCCAAATCGAAACATCGAAAGAGAATTATCGATTTTTTTTTCTTTATTTCGATGACCGTAGGTTATAGTATATAATAGAGGACTATGGAAGGAGAAAACATGTTGCGCCGACCCCAGGTGACTGGGAGAAGGGCAAGAGAATGATGATGAAAAGAAGGACGGTCTTCTTGGGGCTTAGCGGGCTACGGAAGCTTAGAGATACCACGGTGTAAATATTGCTTGTAAATGTGGACACATTAGTGTCAGTTGTAAATGAATAACGGCTATCCGCCGCTTACATCAGAACGCCTGATAACCCACAGGCTCGGTAATTTTAAAATACACATACATATAATATATCAGATATTCGTACAATAATTTATTGAGAAGTTTTATAAACAAAAGAACGACATCAAAACCAACTTTTTTTGGGGATTCTATATTTTAATCTAAAAAAAATTCTATGAAATGGCGACAGGTCTCTGCAACAGCATGCGATCGTAGAATGCCCCTTCAGCTCAAGGGAAAAATTTACAAAACGATCATTAGACCTGTCGTGCTGTATGGATCTGAGTGTTGGGCGACGAAAGTTAAGCATGAAAGAGGAGTGCATGCGGCAGAGATGCGAATGTTGAGATGGATGTGTGGAGTGACAAGAATGGATAAGATAAAGAATGAGTATCTCAGAGGAAGTGTGAAAGTGGCCCCGGTAAACAACAAATTAAGGAGCGGACGGTTAGCGTGGTATGGACATGTGATGCGTAGAGAGAAGATGCATGTGACTAGGAGATGTATGGAAATGGTAGTGCAAGGTAGAGGGGGAAGAGGTCGGCCGAAGAAAACATGGATGGAGTGTGTGAATGACGATATGAGAGAGAGAGGAGTGAGTGTTGAGATAACGGCTGATAGAAGAGAATGGAAGAGAAAAATTAGCTGTGCCGACCCCACCTAGTGGGATGAGGTGGAGAAAAAGAAGAATCTAAAAAAAATTCTATAGATAAAACAATTTAAAAAAAAAACTGGAAACAAATCATGCACGCTCATCCGGCCGCAAATTAGTTTTCTCTGTGTTATGGGTACTAGAGACTGACATACATACCTATGTACATATAGTATAGATAATGAACACCCAGACAAAGAGTAAACAAATCTGTTCGTCACACGAATTTGTGCCCGACGAGGGATTCGAACCTATGACCCATGACGCAATAGTCAGAGCCGCTAACTATTCCACCGTCGAGTCAGTCCTCTTTGAACGAAATTACCAAATAATTTTTCTATAATAAATGCTTTCTTTACGAAAACCGACGAATGGTGCGTGAAAACCAATTTAAATTTTCAAATTCAAAAGTTCAAATTGTCGTTGACGGACCAATTGCCTCTAATCTCGAGGGTTCTAGATGTCATTGACCTACTACTCTCAAAGTTAAGTCACTAATGGTCCAGATAAAGCATGTGCAATAGGTTAACTTGAAGTCATAACATCTGATATTTTGAAGTGAGCACGTAGAATGACATAGAATATACATACCTACACAGAAAACATTGTAATGTTTTTTACTGGTGGTAGGACCTTTTGTGAGTCCGCACGGGTAGGTACCACCACCCTGCTTATTTCTGCCGTGAAGCAGTAATGCGTTTCAGTTTGAAGGGTGGGGCAGCCGTTGTAACTATACTGAGATCTTAGAACTTATATCTCAAGGTGGGTGCCGCACTTACGTAATTGATGTCTATGGGCTCCAGTAACCACTTAACACCACGTGGGCTGTGAGCTCGTCCACCCATCTAAGAAAAAAAAAAAGAAAAAAAACATTGTAATGTATTGCCATGTGTGATAGTCTAAACTTTATATTAAGCAGACTCTTAGCAAGTTTTTAATATTTGATTCTCTGCTGAAGTGATTAATCATTATACTTACATTTGGTTTGGTTTAGGTAAAATCATTCATATTATTTAATCGTCGCATTACAAAGAGTTCTGATTACAAATTGTATGTACAAAATTATCAGAGAATGCTTTATGTTAATTACTGCTAGTTCAATCAAATCACAGGTCATTGAGCCATTTTCATTTATGACTGATTACAGCTGTTAATGTGGCATTATTTTATGCTGATAACATATAAATTTGAATAGGTACAAAAATATTAAGCAAACAAACTGCGGCGCTGAACGATTTCCAAGAATTATCATTTTTTAATTTTGACTTCATTAAGACGGCCATTTTGAAATATTTTTTTCTCCTACCCTTTCGGTGATAGTTAGTCTAAGGGTCTTTTCCAGTCACACGCGAACGGTTAGGCGAGCTCACGGGCTCAATCTGAGAGAAATTGCTAGCCATAGAAAGAGCATTGTTTCGCATATTCTAGCATCGCATCGGAATCGCGACTCACTGAAAAGATCCGTGTGTGCTTAGTGCGAGTTTCTTAACGTTCTCGATAGAGTTAAAGTTAACTCATATTTGTATGATGTTGGAAAGTATGCCTACGTTTGCCACTAGGGGCGCTGTTTCAACTGCATACAAATTTGACTTAACTTTTACGCTATCGAGAACGTTAAAAAACTCGCACTTAGCACACCGGTGAGAAACTTAGTGGGTTGTGTCTATGAGCATCGGCAACGGAAAAATGTCACAGCACAGCAACGTACTTTTTCGGATGTTATTCGAGGATTAAATTTTTTCTGTTTTTGTACCGCTGTTGTTATCGATAGACAATGTCATTGTGGTTACCAGAGGGCATGACAACGCTATGTAAATAATGTCATGTAGCAAGCAAGGTCGCATAGCATATTTTTGCGCCAAATAAAGACTTTTTCTTTCAAATAACAATGTTGGCGAATCTATCTTTAATCTAAAACTAATTACTGGTAAATGATTAAGAATGCATGCCTCTAACAATACGAATATATACCTGAAATACGTATAGACATGAACGGTGAACAAACAAACACACTCACATTTAAATTAGTAATAAACGAAGCAACAGATCGCCATGATTAATTTTAGGTCAGGAGAGTGACAATGCTACCTTTGAGCTCGAAAAAACATCACATTCTCACGGAAAACTACACTGCATTTTTCCTTGACCGCGCGGGCGATGCCGCGAGTAATAATTACTATAATGCTCTCAACTATTCCTCTAGTCATTGTCCATTTCCCTATAACGCTCGCGTTAGAAAAAGATGCACGTCTGTCATGTTTCGAGCAGTTAGCGCAATGTAATACAAATTACACGCCAATTACAATTATATTGTCGAACCAGCGCGTATATACAACAAGCGCCATTTTTGCCTACCTATGCTGATAGCCTTGAGAGGCTATTTCAGCTTTACCCTAGCGTGTAAGTGAGCTCTCGGGGCGCAAACCGGAGGTGTTACTAACACTGGCCCCAGCAAGAGCAATGCTTCGCAGAATCTACCACCGGATCGGAAACCCAACCCGCTGAGAAGATTCGGCGAGAAACTCAGAGAATACTCTGAACTGAACTCTTATACTTGTAGTTGTCATTGGATGACTCATTGACAGCGATATAAACGTCAAACGTCATTGTTGTCGACACAATAGCGGCTCATCCAATAATTACGTTACACGGTGTCGAAATTCAATGATTCAGTAGACTGATAAATTGAGTCAATTCAATGCATCATCCACAATAGCTTAACCGTTGTATCAATTTTGCTTTGGAATTGTAAAAACCGTGACCAGTGTTTTTTTATGCATCATACGTTTCGTGAATACTTTATAGGTATAGAAGAATCGATGTAGTCGTCAACTGATTAGTAAAGTTTTGTAAGCGAATGCGAATGTTTTTTTTTAAATGTACTCATAGCATTTTCTGCTGTTATTTTCGAACTAAATATCTTCATAATTCATCTCTGATCTTATTTCCTACCTTATATGCTAGCGAACGCCACAGCCTTTCTATTACGAAACAATCAAACGACGTAAGACGGTGGTTCTAATGCAATAGAAACTTTTATCTCATATAGTTGACCCGGCAGACTTCGTAGTGCATCAATCGATAAAAGACCTAAACTTTTGTATAACATAAACTTAAAACAAATAAAGGAATCCGTCTGATGGGGGAGACACATCAAAGGAAAAATAAAATTGTAATTTTTATTTAATTCCGAGCATTTTCATTTTTATCTACCTTTTAAACCTTCTCTGGACTTCCACAAATAATTCAAGACCAAAATTAGCCAAATCGGTCCAGCCGTTGTCGAGTTTTAACGAGACTGACAGCAATTCATTTTTATATATATATAGATATAGATAGGAAACTGGACGACACCATTTAGACTCGCATGGTTGCCTAGCATAACCTCTTAAGGTTTACCAGCTTAGGTAGAAAGAAAAAAAAAACATTTAGTTTGTTTAATAGCGGCTTACACTTGGCATGCGAGTACCTCTGTCCGGCTAGGCGTCATAAAGACAATAAAAAAAAACCAAAAAAAAAAAAACCAGTTAGCACAATATTAAATTGTAATTTAACAACGCCTTAATTGTCGTGACTGCGAAACCTGAATAATAATATTCGAAACGCCAAAAAATAAATAATGACAATAAATAACAAAGACAAGATCGAACCGTAAAATTAGCTTTAATTATGTTTACAACTCGTTTCCAACCAAAGAAAATAATAAATGAAGAAGATTAAGAAATACCACTTATTATTTATATGAACNCTGAATAATAATATTCGAAACGCCAAAAAATAAATAATGACAATAAATAACAAAGACAAGATCGAACCGTAAAATTAGCTTTAATTATGTTTACAACTCGTTTCCAACCAAAGAAAATAATAAATGAAGAAGATTAAGAAATACCACTTATTATATAAATGAACTTAAGCACTGACAACAATATTTTTATTGACATTCTTCGTCAGCAACATCGGGCCAACACCATTTATAAAAGCCAGATTAATTAATTAAAGATATAAGACAAGTTACTGGTTTACTGGTGGTAGGACCTCTTGTGAGTCCACACGGGTAGGTACCACCACCCTGCCTATTTCTGCCGTGAAGCAGTAATGCGTTTCAGTTTGAAGCGTGGGGCAGCCGTCGTAACTATACTTGAGACTTTAGAACTCATATCTCAAGGTGCATGGCGGCTTTTACGTTGTAGATGCCTATGGACTTCAGTAACCACTTAACACCAGGTGGGCTGTGGAATCGTCCACGCATCTAAGCAATAAAAATAACAATAAAAAAACTTAATTAAACACGATGGGTTTTTCTCGTATGCATTAGACATGCACGACTTCTAAATGGGCTATGATAACTATTTAACACAAGAAACTTCGAGGACGCCCATATAGAAGAACTATGCAAAATATTTCCCAAAAATACTGTCTCAAAGCCAAATCTCGTGAAATAGCAAACACGTCATTTAGGATCCTCCCGATCCACTGACCGTGCTTTTAGGTACCTCAAGCACCGGTCACCGTTCTCGTCAAATCCGTCGCTTGCGACGAAGGGCTCGACGAGTAAATTAACCCTCAGACACAGTCCACTGAGTTTCTCGCCGGATCTTCTCAGTGGGTCGCGTTTCCGATCCGGCAGTAGATTCTGCGAAGCACGACTCTTGCTAGGGTTCGTGTCAGCAACGTCCTCAGGTTTGAGCCCCGTGAGCTCACCTACTAGTTAAGGTTCCGCTGAAATAGCCTCTCAAGGCCATCAGCTTAGGCAGGAAAAAAAAAAAGAAAAAGTGAAATAGCAATCGATCAGCAACCACCCAACCAAAGAGATGACTATTAAAATAGGCTAGCGATTGTAAAGTTAATGTTATAATTCTGATTTTACAGGGTCCAAACTAGCGACAGTCCACAACGTGACGGTGAGCGGATGCGAAGAGTCGTCCAGTCATTGTATACTGAAGAGAAACACAGACGCCACGATCGGCCTGCAGTTTACACCACGTGAGTGGAATACTCGTAACTTACACATTACATACCATTTTTATACGACGTAATATTAACTATTACTGGTGGTAGGACCTCTTGTGAGTCCGCACGGGTAGGTACCACCGCCCCGCCTATTTCTGCCGTGAAGCAGTAATGCGTTTCGGTTTACAGGGTGAAGGAAAATTGTTGAATTTTATATGTTACACCTACAAACGCATGATTGATTGGTGACTAAGGGCTCTTTTTAAAATTCTCAGTCAGGGTCAGTTAAGATTTACGAAATTAGTAGTTTTGAATCAGTTGTGGTGTTTTAATGAAGATCATGTGATGTTTCTTATTGTTATTCATATTTTCATTGCCTAGATAACTGGAAGAGCTCATGACTCATCATGGATTTAAATGGTTACCAGAGCTCAAAGCCTATTTCCGCCGTGAAGCAGTAATGCGCTTCGGTTCGAAGGGTGGGGCAGCCGTTGTATCTAAAGTGAGACCTTAGAACTTATATCTCAAGGTGTGTGGCACATTTACGTTTTAGATGTCTATGGGTTCCAGTAACCACTTAACACCAGGTGGGCTGTGAGCTCGTCCACACATCTAGACAATAAAATAAAAATAAAAAAATCCTTCCTTCGCAGTTTTTCCCTTCTTCTTGAGGATCGTGACTTGTTCTGTAGTGCTCTCACTCTGTCTATCCGATCTATTCCTAAGTCCCAATCCTCGTATCAACCATCTTGGGAGCGGGGGGGGGGTTACCAATCGCCACACTTGGTATACGGATTGGCGAAGGCAGTGTATAGTTATGATACTCTGAAAATGCGGGATGCAAGCAGCACAGGACTGGCCAGAATATCTAGGCCTATGTACAAAAGCATCATAATATGCATGATTTTCCTATACATAGTAAAATACTATCTGTTTTCCCACAATCGAAGCGCCTAAAAAGCCTTTTCCAACCATTGCCACGATGAGCGTGTAACGAAAATCAAACCGGCAAAACAAACATAGGATAAGTACCACTTTGCCTATTACTGATGTATAACAGTCGTGCTTTGCAGTTCACCTGTTAAGTGGTTACTGACCCACGGTGGTACCCAAAACTACATATCAACTACCTACGTAACAACCCTAAGACGTGAGTTCAAAAGTGTAAGTTTATTACAGTACAACGTCTGCACTACCCTTCAAACCGAAACGCATTACTGCTTCACGGCAGAAATAGGCAGGTTGGTGACACCTACCCGTGCGGGCTCACAAGACGTTCTAGCACCAGTAAGACGTTCCCATTTACGCCAACCAATCATACGATTGGGTCTTTGACTTCGTGTCTGTGGATAGCTCAATTAACAAATTCTCGGTTCCGGTAACCACTAAGCACCAGGTAAGCTGTATGGGCCGTGAGTTCGTCGAGCGATCCGTAGCAACAAAGAGTAATATGTTTTGAATTTCCAGTGCACAACATCGATCGCATAAATACAGAAGTTCACGGGGTCATCATGAACATCCCGATACCGTTCCCCCTGCCGGAGTCTGACGCGTGCAAGGACAACGGGCTGACCTGCCCCCTCAAGGTACGAAAGAACCAGGATACCCGTCTTTACCTTCCTAATACAACATGAGCCCCGTTACCTGCGCTAGTCCCGCAACGCGCCATTATCAACCTTCACCCACTAAACTATTAAGTGTATATCTATGCACTAAACGGTTGGTTTGTCTGTTTGTCGTCTATTTTATGTACCCCAAAAAGATGTGGGACGGTATGGCGAAATCTAGTGGATATTTAATGGAACAACAAAATCTTTTATTCTTTCAAAAAAATACTACATACATATTCGTAACATCGTCATGTCAATTTTTGTATCTGTCATTTATATTTTCTCATTTTAAAATAAAATTAGTGTGCCAGTGTGAATTAACCAAAAAGTACCGATCTTCCCACTCGGCCATATATGTGAACGGTCGGTTCGTTCGTTGTCGTCTGGTTCGTGTACGTCTTTTAGGAGGCCGCTTGTCACGTCTGCCCTCGTTCCATTTCTTTCTTTTGTTTCTTTTCGATTCACCTGTCAAGTCTCAGTCTTAGTCTATGTCCTGTCAAAGAGGTTGCACGCCACGACACCCATAATCGAAGTCTCGGATGCATTGGTAATTGTACCAATAACTACCGCGCTATCGGCAAATCGAAACGCCCTACTGTAGCGACACAGGACGGCGATCCCCACTCGTTTGTTCTGGAGCACGCTCTACTTAAGCTAGAGACCGGGAGTGACTTAAGATGTAACATATTTGGATTAGTAACGATTAAAATCCTCGCAATTAAAACCTAAAATCTAATTGTTTCTAAATATCATTTTTTAGTAAAGTACATTGGGCCCCAATGAAGTTACAAGTTTTATTTTATTCATGAATTTATTGAGCATTAATTAAATGAAATACTACTTTATTAAAACGTTATAGATATTTTAAATAAATCTAAATTGCGTGTCGGCGATGCGTGATTATAGCACGTAGTGATGTGAGTTTATTCACCCGTCTATGCAATAAAAGAAGCCAATTTTTTTTGTTCTTCTATTCCAGGAGGGAACCCTGGCGGATTATAAAGCAACACTGCCTATCCTGAAGTCTTATCCTAAGGTGACAGTGGAAGTAAAGTGGGAGCTCCAAAGTGAACATGGCGACTTAGTTTGCGTTCTTATAAACGCTAAACTGGTCTAAATAGTACTTCCCGACTTTATTAGATTAGAGGAAGATTTTAGTTAGATTTTTCAGACTTAATGCCGTCACAGAGAGACAGTAATTTTGTAAATTTGAATGTTTTTGGGTGAGTTTAGTAAGTCCTCACGGTAGGTAAAATTGTTTTGTTTATTTCTGACACCTTTTTGTCTGTGACCCACTTATCTTGAGGAATTATACTAGCTTCACTGAATGTGTTGGCGACCTCACGGGCTCAACCTGAGAGAATTTGCTGACACTAGCACTAGCAAGAGCAGTGCTTCGCTGAATCTACCACCGGATCGAAAACGCGACCCACTGAGGAGATCCGACGAGAAATCCAGTGGGTTAAGTTACAAGTTGAGCTTTTCCTTGCTGCCTGCCACTAATCATGTGTGGAACTTGAAACGGCCATTATACAATAAAAATTTGATTGAGCTCCTAAATAACCACTTAACGTCAAGCGAGCGCGCACACCGCATCTATGAAATACAAAAAAGGTCTACGTTATATCTACGCAAATTTACACTATTATTCTTCCTGAGTTTCATATTATGAGTTCCCGAAATATCGGGAAAATTTAAGGTTTTTTTGGAGATTCTTGTGAGCCCGCTTGAATAGGTACAAAGACCCTGCCGTGAAGCAGTAATGCGTTTCGATATGAAGAGTGGGGCAGCCGTTGTACTGTAAAAACTTAGAACTCATATCTCAAGATGGGTGACGGCATTTGCGTTGCTAATTCCTATGGACTCCGGTAACCACTTAACCCCGGTCGGCCGTGAGCTCGTCCACCCATTTAAACGATAATAGAAGACTCGTTAAATAATAGTATATGAGGCGACTATTATCAAAGCCGGCAATGTGACTTTTGGACAATTATTGGTAAATCAGAAAAACGAATTATTGACTTTGTATTCCATTGGCAGTCACAAAACTCTTCTGAACGACATCTTAGATAAATAACAGGTTAAGTATTAACCTTTATTTAATGCAGGTTTTGAACCGTATTCTTTGAAGGAGACGATTATATTGAAATCAATCTGTATTGACATATCAATAACATTTTTTTTGTCCAAATGCACAGATTGCCACCTTTGATAATAGACGACTCATATAGACTTAATTTGACATGTCCTCAATACCACTGACCTTACCAAAGAGGTTAACGCAAATATACAAACACGGTCGATAACAAAGTGCTGGTATAATTTAATGAACGATTTATATGCCCCTTTGAATGCCGGCTCCATAGATAAAATTGCGCATCTCTAAAACTAATTTAACCCTTTGACTCCCGTGTAGGTCACCGGTGCCCTACGCGGCGCAATGAAGTAATTATGTCGATTTCTGATACTAAGGCGTCGGAATGTCTAGTAGACTATGACGAATCCGAACGATAGTGTAATTAATTTATTTCTAAGAGACCTTAAGGACTAAAACATACCATACCATACCAAAAGAAGGCAATGTTAGGCAATTCTGAACCTACATGGCAGTTAAAGGGTTAAAATCTGATCGATTTGTATCAATAATGATAAGAAATCACAGAGAACTATTTTTAATAGGCGGTTTGTCTTAATTTATTAGAACCATATTTTGTACCAACGTTCAATAATAAATTGAAGTGATTTTGATAAGTTTAAATATAAATTATAAGTAAAGGATTGTTTTATTTTTATACATTGCGCTTTTTTCTCCTACCTAAGCTGAGAACGTTGAATAGCCTTCAGCGTAAACTTAACTAGTAGGTGAGCTCACGGGGCTCAAACCTGACGACGATGCTAACACGAACCCTAGCAAGAGCCGTGCTTCGCAGAATCTACCACCGGATCGGAAACGCGACCCACTGAGAAGATCCGGCGAGTAACTCAGTGGGCTGTGTCTGAGGGTTAAAAACATTGCCTCACGAACATCTTCGAACTGATCAGTCCATGAACGACGACTGTTTCTTATCAAACAATCTCTATATATATAAAAATGAGTCTCGCTAAAACTCGAGAACGGACCGATTTGGCTAATTTTGGTCTTGAATTATTTGTGGAAGTCCAGAGAAGGTTTTAAAGGTAAATAAATATGAAAATACTCGGAATTCAATAAAAATAACAATTTTGTTTTTCCTTTGATGTGTCGCCCGTCGGACGGATTCCTTTTGTTTATTTTAAGTTTATTTGATACAAAATTTAGGTATTTTATTTATCGATTGAGGCACTACGAAGTCTGCTCGGTCAACTAGTTTGAAATAAAAACCCTCTTATTAACAATTAATATTTAATTAATACAATAAATTTTCACTTAACATTGTCGCATATAATTGCACTCGAAAATACATAAATTCTATAAAATAAGAGTAGATTTACTAAAATAAATGCTTTTCAAATTGTGTATTAAACTAAATAAAATTAGTTTTCCAAAAATCGTGTCATTTATTCCGTTCCCATGCCAATATCTGTCAGCTGCGCGACTATAACAATTATGCCAGTGGGAAGAAATCACGGTCACATCAAAACTTGAATTTTTTGAAAAAGCAATTGGTTTAATCTTCACAACAACAAATTAATACTAACGAGTCATATGGAGATATTTTAACAAAAATGAAGTACACTTCACGCAGACTTAGTTATTACATTCTCTACACTTCGCAAAAGAGAATCTATTAGATGTGCCTAGATGTGTGGACGATCTCACAGCCCACCTGGTGTTAAGTGGTTACTGGAGCCCATAGACATCTACAACGTAAATGCGCCACACACATTGAGATATAAGTTCTAAGGTATCAGTATAGTTACAACGGCTGCCCCCCCCCTCAAACCGAGATGCATTACTGCTTCACGGCAGAAACAGGCGGGGCGGTGGTACCTACCCGTGCGGACTCACAAGAGGTCCTACCACCAGTAAAAATTTGATGTCAATTCTAAATTAATCTAAATTAGTTCTACCACCAGCAAAAATTCGATGTCAATTCTAAATTAATCTAAATTAGGTAATCAACTGTCAAAGATTAGGTCGCCATTTCATTAAGATAGTAGATCTTCACGTAATGTTTCATGAGTTAACGCAATTCGCACATCCGTCAACAGATGGCGCTAATATCAAAAATGCGTTTACATTTTATGTGAAGCCACCGCATTTCTCTTAAGTTACATTAAAAGCTTCTCTTATCTGGTGTGCCGTGCAAGTTTCAATAAATAAACCTTGAAAATAAATCGTCAAATAATAAAAATATTGGGCTTTTCAACAAAAGCGATATATTGTATTTTTAATATTTGTGTACACATTTTTAACGATTGTAAAACTACCGTCAGAATAAAAAACAACTATAAACTAGTACAGTCTGTATATAAGGCACTTACTATCGTTTATAAAAATAGCATTTGTAAAATGCAGGTAAATATATATATTTTCATATAATTCATTTTAAAAATATCTCTTCGATACACATATATTTTTTTTAAATTAGTGATTTGATTGAGCACTGATCCGGCATAAGCCTTGAAGTCCGAGATATGTACAATATGTCATCTCTTTGGTGTATTTTTTCGTTTTTTTTTTACAAATTATATAGATTTCGGTTGAAATTTATTTTCTAAAAAGTGATATACGTAATCATAAACGACGAGCATTATCGCTCCTCCCGGGCCCAACCTTAGAACTTTCGGCAGCAAACCCTTGTACAGAGCGCGGAATCTGAAAAAAAAAAATACATAATTTCCCGCTTTTATTTCGATGCCTCCAATGAACACTACTCTAACTCAAAATGTTGGAAATTTTAATTTTTCACGCAAATCGCTTCACTATGTTAAAAGTATTACAATTAATCATTATTAATGGGGTTCAAAGCAAGGGTAATTAAGCTAGCTACACAAAAAAACCATAAATATATCTGCAATAATATAGATTTTATCAACTTTTTTCGTTTAAATGCTCCTCCTGTAAATATCTACGAATTTGGAGTTAGCGTAGTGTTCATTGGAGACATCGATTTTGTCCATTAGGTTATAGTAATAACTAGCCGTACTCCCCCGCTTCGCTGGGCATTTAAAATTAATATTATTATTTATTGTCATTATTATTAGGGAGTCCAACACTCATATAAATATTAGCCTATTCATCAAGTACATGTATTTTCTACATGGATACCAAGTTTCAAGTCAATCGGATGCACGGCTCAGTAGTTATAACGGAGCATCCTTAAAACCACTGTAGATTTATATATTAGTTTAGATATAGATAAAACAATAATACTCAGTGTGTAAAAGTAACTGATATGCCAGAATGTTATTTTCGTCTCGGACGCTAATTAAAGCAATCTAAAGCTAACCTCACCACTTTACTATAACTACTGGCACGACCTCCGCCCTCGGCTTGGTTTATTTAATAACAGTCCATACATATTCGTTGGTAGTCTTAGAGGCTATTCCAGCTACGGTAGGCGAGCTCACGGACTCAACCTGAGAGAATTTAAACACTAACCCTAGCAAGAGCAGTGCTTCGCTGAATTTACTTAACTGATCGCGATCCACTGAGAAGATCCGGCGAAAAACTCAGTAGGAGTTTGGCAAAAGAGTAACAAAGAATAGGAAGAATAGGAACTACATTAAAGACTAATATGTAGTATACTAGGTACGAGCGCTAGGATATTTAATGAACTACCAAAGAAATTAAGAGACATAGACGATTTTAATTTTAAGAAAAAACTAAAAGATAATCTTATTAGTGGAAATTATTATCACTTAAGTGATTTTCTTATGGACGACATTGAAAATAAACGGATTTAAAATTATTAGTTCAATTATGGATGAATGAATGGTAAATTATATATAATATCATAATATCTTGCACTGCACTAAAATTCGCATGTCAAATAATGACAAAGCATACACGCTGCTTTTAACTTATGTAATAACTCATTTTCACTATGCTTAGCGAATAAATGATTTCTAAAAAAAAATAAGCCTAAATCGCGCTAACAACAATTTCAAGATAGTAAATTCAACCCATAGACATCTACCACGTAAATGCGCCACCCACCTCGAGATATAAGTTCTAAAGTCTCATTATAGTTACGACGGCTACCCCACCCTTCGAACCGAAACGCATTACTGCTTCACGACGGAAATAGGCGGGGTGGTGGTACCTACCCGTGCGGACTCCCAAGAGGTCCTACCACCAGTGATGAATAGAGACATCTTGCCGGAATAGAGACATCTATGACTACATAATACGCCCGAGATATTTTTAATAACAAATTGCTGCAACGAACAAAAATCTGTGGTTTCTTTTTTATAATATTATTTTCGAATAGCAACAGACATCAAACTTTGGCTTCGTTCCAATCTCAAAATTATTTATAGAGAAATATACTTTTTTTTTTAATGTTGTTTGTTTACTCTGACCAGTGAATTAAAAGGTACTAAGAACAATGATAAAGCTGTAATTGCATTATCAACTAGAAATTTCCATTTAATTCTAGAATTTTCTTTAGTGACGTGGCTAATCTGAAGTAGCAAAGTTAAGAGACGTAGTTACTAAAGTTTACTATTTATATATAGTTATACCGGTCACTCACATTCGCACGAATACGCAAACCCGCAAGTATAGGACGACATTTGCAAATGATTATGCAAAGTTTTCGCTGCATTCGTGGTTTTCCAAGCTGTATCGGTTTTTCAACGGACATCAAAGCACGCGAACCGCGATTATTCGTGTAGTCTCCCACACATTCGTGTGACCAGTTGCGCCCACGACTGCAAAGGTAACGGACGTTTCGCCATTTTCATAATTCGTGACGTCTACTGTGTAGCGTAACTTAATCATGGATTGGAACAACACTAAGGTGATGGAGTTCATTGAACTCCTGCAAAATGAACCGACCATATGGGACCCTCAAAAGGAATCCCATAAAAACAGAATGGCTAACGGCATAGGGACGCCTGGGAAAGAATTAAAAACTCCCTTTCCCTTCAATGTTCTATTGGTAAATTAAAAAGGAAGAGAAATTCGTGAGACATTCGTAAACAAGTGTGGGAGGAAGCGCAAACGGGTTCGCAAATTGAGTACCGAACCCAGTTCGGTATGCGAATGAATATCTGACGGCCCTTCACATGCGCGCGAACATTCGTACAATGTACAAATGTTCGCGCGCATGTTAGTGGCCGGCAATACGATGATGATGATATTAAATTATCCCTAATGGGAAAGGCAAAGGACTTTAGTCCATACAGCCAGGTCGTGTTCTTGGTAATAATTGGAGAATTTTGGTAGTTTTAAAGGCCGAAGCCACGTCTTCATTGTTCTTGATCATAAGGCCGAAGCCATGTCTTGTCTTATTGTTGTCATGTCTTATTATTCTCGGTCATAAGGCCCAAGCCACTCCGATGTTTTGAATTGATCGAAGTCAAATCCATAAGCAATAATATTGGAATCCCAATAAAAATTATTTATATTTCCAGGTGCTTGTTTCAAATCCGATGTTATGGTAAATCCAAAAGTATGTCCGTTCAATCCAATTAGTCAATGCGGGGAGTGCAATCCTTTTAAATGTCTTGGAGTGCAACACTGTCATGAACCGTATTAGAAATAAGTTCATAAATGATATCATGCATATCACGGTTCTTAAGCAAGTCTTGAATACAGCGCGGGATCTTTTCAAGTTACTATTGTTACGGCACGCTATGATCGCCGTTTTGACATATTACAATAGTGATATGAAATGTCAATTTATTCTCGAACTTATTAATAGTTTAGAAATCAATGTAAACAATAAATTTTGTCTCCCAAAATAATACATTCGATAAATTTTATGACTAACTACACGTCACTATTGAAAATAAAGAACAGCAATTTGCTCCTTTATTTATTTTTTATTGCATAAATGGATGGACGAGCTCACAGCCCACCTGGTGTTAAGTGGTTACTGGAGCCCATAGACATCTACAACGTAAATACCGCTACCCACCTTGAGATATAAGTTCTAAGGTCTCAAGAATAGTTACAACGGCTGCCCCACCCTTCAAACCGAAACGCATTACTGCTTCACGGCTGAAATAGGCAGGGTGATGGTACCTACCCGCGCGGACTCACAAGAGGTCCTACCACCAGTTATAAAACAATGTGAGGATTTTAGGGAGTGCGTTGGTTGATTGTCCGTTGAGGGTTTATTGTGCGATCTCCTCCGGAAACCTCATCGGACACGATGTAGATCAGTGATTCCCAAAGTGGTCTATATCGACTCCTAGGGGTCTATGACAAACTGCAAGGGGTCTACGTCAGCGAAAAAAAAATTGGGGGTCCACGATAGTGAATCTCAACACATACACTGATAGTACCTATTTACTTATATCACACTATCTTATAATATCAAGACATCATTAGCCGAGGAGATTTAAGATTAATCCTTACAAAATTGACGTCAAATGTTGATAATTTATTATTAAAGCATCAGGTTCATCCTTCTCACTAAAAATATTGACTTATTGCTTATGTTATTTTATTTATAGTTTATTTTATGTTACGTACATTTTACATAGCAGATACAAAATTTTATTTTGAGTAGTTTTAATTTAAATTCAATTAATAAATGTATAAATTAACATGTGTTTTTACTTTAAATTTTTAACACTAAACTTTACTACAGTTAGAAATTTACAGGAAATCAATATCAGGTAAGTAGAGGGTCTACCCAACACAGAAAAACATAGCAAGGGGTCTACGACACAAAAAAGTTTGGGGAACTCTGATGTAGATAATGCATTCTCGATATCATATTACTGAAGACGAGCTGCATAATTCGGTCGAGCTGGCTCCACGCCAGCATTATCAGAGAAAACGGATTATTTTTACATAAAACGGTACACATTAAGGTACATTATATTTTTAGGCTATGCGCAGGTCGCGGTTACACATTGTTCACCGGTTACACATTGTGAGACGTTAATAATTGTTCGAATGCTTTCATTTAAGATAGAGACTTTCGGATTGTCGATAAACCCATTATCACGGATCGTTTGGAAACTCTGGGTCTGCGGAGGGACTTCGGTTCCCTCTGTATTTTGTATGGTATGTTCCATGGGGAGTGCTCTCGAGGAATTATTCAAGATGATACCGTCATCTCGTTTTTACCATCGAACCGCCCGCCACCGGAGTACAGTTCATCCATACTACCTGGAGCCATTGCGTTCATCCACAGTGCGTTGAAAACAATTCAATAAGTAAATACAAAAAAAAAGAAATAACAAAAACAGTGAGAATAGTCATTTAAAAAATTTATGTCCACTTAAATGCATATGTGGCCATTTAGAGTAGAGTTCAAAATCTAACTATACAAACAATTAAAAATAAGTACCTATGTGTGCCAATGTCCTTACGGAGATTAGATAAAGGTAAGCTATACATTAAGGTAGAGGGGGAAAGAGGTCGACCGAAGAAGACATGGCTGGAGTGTGTGAATGATTATATGAGAGAGAGAGGGGAGTGAGTGTTGAGATGACAACTGATAGAAGAGAATGAAATAGAAAAATTCGCTGTACCGACCCCACCTAGTGGGATAAGGTGGAGACAAAGAAGAGAGTCCTTACAAAGGTTCAGATATTTTATAGTAGTTAACTAATGAGAATGAAGTTCGATTTGTCCTTAAAGCGTCTAGTATTAGTGCTTTTACCTTAAATAAATTAAGTTTAAACAATATGAACAAATAAAAAACTACACAAGTAACACGATCCTATTATATTTCAATCGAGCGTTCCAATTTCAAGGGTGGAACATCCGTTATACTATACAATTGAGACTTCGAGCTCATCTCTCATGATGGGCCGCCCAATGTATTATTTTTAATATCTCACTGTAGCGGTAGCCATCATACGCCGCAAGATATTTGACAGATGCCTGAATCTCGCTTACGACATTTTCAAGATAAGCTTACATATATACAAGTTCCGAAAAACAACATTCGGACCGTCAGTCTACCCAGCAATATCACCCGCTCGGTAGAAGATCTTCCTTTCGTCGTTAAACATCCCACACTCACCCTTCCTCCCTGTAGACCATTATGATGGCGCCGGACGTGGAACTATACTTGACGACGCCCGGCACCGGCTGAGGACCCTGGATCCGACTCTTCGCGACATCGAAGGGAATATTCGCGCACGAGCCCAGGACCCCCGACGTGAACCCTATGGCGACCTTCCGCAGAAACTCTGATAACGGATCCTGAAATATAAAAAAAACCTAAATCAATCGCTGCTTTCTTGTGCTTCATGAAACTCATCATTTTAGATGATAAAAGAATACTGAAATGTTTTGATAAAGATCACGGATTATGTGCTTTATAAATAAAATGACTGCCCAATTTTACGATAAGGGTTCATAGTGACAGCATTTGCGATGTCGTTGTTGCCAAATCACTGTTTCATTATCATTACAATGACAAGAGCGTGTTTCTTTTAACGTCTTTGTCGAAAGATAAGCCCGTCGAGTGGCGGCAGTAGCAACCGGACCGAGAGCATAGTCATGCCGCTGCCTGTGAATTCTCATCTCACATAGATCTACTTTATTTTTTCTCAATTTATAATATATATTATACTAGCGACCCGTCCTCGCTTCGCTTCGGAAACTTTAATTTATTATTGATTTCTCCACTATTTAATGGATGTTATTATACATATAAACCTTTCTCTTCAATCACTCTAACTATTAAAAAAAACCGCATCAAAATCCGTTGCGTAGTTTTAACGATTTAAGCATAGATAGGACATACAGACAGAGAAAGCGACTTTGTTTTATACTATGTAGTGAAGATGTCCGGTGCATTTGTACCGATGTAGATTGTAGCGGTGTTCGAATCCCGCAGGCGGGTACCTATTTTACTAATGAAAAACATACTTAACAAATGTTCAGGATTGACTTCCACGGTGAAGGAATAACATCGTGTAATAAAAATCAAACCCGCAAAATTATAATTTGCGTAATTACTGGTGGTAGGACCTCTTGTGAGTCCGCGCAGGTAGGTACCACTACCCTGCCTATTTCTGCCGTGAAGTAGTAATGCGTTTTGGTTTGAAGGGTAGGGCAGCCGTTGTAACTATACTTGAGACCTTAGAACTCATATCTCAAGATGGATGGCGCATTTACGTTGTAGATGTCTATGGGCTCCAGTAACCACTTAACACCAAATGGGCTGTGAGCGCGTCCACCCAACTAAGCAATAAAAAAATAATCAGTCAGACTATTCATATTATAACCTCTTTCTTATCTTAAAAGGTCATTATAACTTTTTAGGTGTTCATTACTAGGTTATTATAAATTTTTATTTATTTTCAAGTGACTTGTGGGCTATGATAAAAAGGGTTATTTGATGCAGGACGCAGAAACACGCCGAATGCAAACTTCTTTCTTTCTATATCGTAAGATTAACTTCTTCTGCAACAAAAGTTCTGTGATAGATACAGTTATATATTAATACGTGAAGCAAAAGCTTTATACCCATTTTTACGAAAATTGCGCGGACGGAGGACTATGAAATTTCCCACACTTATAGAGAATGTAGAGAAAGAGTGCAGAATGTTAATATTTTTATTAAATTATGCCTAAAAATACATTAAATCAATAAAAGAAACATAACACACACTACCATGGATTTGACACACACTTAAATACTCTTCGTTTATTGTCAAACTTTTGTTATTGTTTAAAGGCTGGTCAAATTAAGAATAGATTAATATTGTTTGTCTTTAATATTTTTTGTCTATAATGTAGTCTTGGCGAAATCTGTGATTATAAGAAGTACCTAAAATAATAGTATTTGACAATAGAACCATAATAATGTTCAAACTAATAATTTCACTAGCGGTGATCCACTAGTAAAATTAGTTCCGCGATGCTAGCAACTGACAACAACCGCTTATGCAACACATCGGCGTGATGTGACAAAAAAAAATTCATTCATTTATTTACGTAATAGATAAGGCGGTATTTTTCCAACGTTAACATTCAAAGAAGTGTTGAGATAAGAATAATGAGGTCGTCGCGGCCTAAAGGATAAGACGCCCGGTGTACTCGTATCGAGCGATGTAACTGTGCCGATGTTCAAATACCACAGATAGGTACAAAATTTTACAAAAGTCACCACAATATTTTGCATAATTACAGTAAAAGCTACGCGTTTCCTTTATTAGTTTTCGCTATTGGTGGATTAAAAATTATTATTTTTTATTGCGATGGATGGACGAGCTCACTGCTCACCTGGTGTTAAGTGGTTACTGGAGCCCATAGACAGATATAACGTAAATGCGCCACCCACCTTGAGACATAAGTTCTAAGGTCTCAAGTATAGTTACAACGGCTGCCCCAACCTTCCAACCGAAACGCATTACTGCTTCATGGCAGAAATAGGCGGGGTGGTGGTACCTACCCGTGCGCACTCACAAGAGGTCCTACCACCAGTATTGCGACCAAATAGCTAAAGATTTCTTTACACGATGATAAAAAGGTTTCCAATATGTAGGCATCCAACCGAATATCCGTGCTTTTCCATATTCACGGTTCGGTGTCTGTATTCGCGGCATATTTACAGAACATACAGCCCACTGAGTTTCTCACCGGATCTTCTCAGTGGGTCGCGTTTCGGATCCGGTGGTAGACTCTGCCAAGCACTGCTCTTGCTAGGGCCAGTGTTAGCAACACTTCTGGTTTGAGCCCCGTGAGCTCACTTACACGTCAAGGCGAAGCTGAAATAGCCTCTCAAGGCTATTGGCATATGTAGGTAAAAAAAACAAATAACCCGCGAATAAAAAGCTTTTTCGGTACTTCAGATAGAGTTTAAGTCCAGGGGAAGGTATACCATACCACCTTGACCCTGCCTATTTATGCGCGAAGTGCTCATTCGTTCTGATTTGAAGGATGGGATTTCCGTTATTCCATACATTTGAGGCCCAGACCTCTTGTCTCAAGATGGCTATACCTTTAGTGACCATTTAACAGCGGGCGAGCTGTAAGATCGTTGATCCGTATATACAATTAAAACAAAATCTATTTTAACGTTGGTTTCATACAAGTTTATTTGTTAACAACAGCAACCAATTTCCGGATAGAAATAAGTTATCGTTTATTGTATAATATATTAAGTCACTAACATAGATATAAGTAATTACTACTAACAAAATGTTATGGTTTTAAAAAACAAAACTGAAATAAAGAATTAATAAATAATAAAATAAAATATACTTAGTATGCAAGTGCAATGCATTTAAGTTCTACTTAAATTATACTTTTCTATAAGTTATGTTTAATTGTACTGTAATATTAGTTGTATATTAATGTTTATTACCTATTTTCTATCAGGCGTAACGAAAAACTTTATTTACATGTATACAAAATAATATATTTTTACAACACGCGTCCAAGAATCTCCAGTGAAACTCTCATTTGGGTGTGCGCAAGCTTAACATGACATTTTGTGCCATTGATTAATATAACTTTTGTTTGATGTATTTCAAACCTATAACTACCCTTTTAATTTTAACTCTTCAGATATAAGTACACAGTTCGTGAACCAGCAAGCTCAATCCGTATTTGACGTAGAAAATTGGGAGCAGCTAGCTGGAAGGCTATTTCGATTAGAAACTAATAAACTTACCTGATACTCCGGTACATATCCTTTGACGCTGTGATAGAATCCGAAATACACCATGTTGAAGACTCCGTTCCTGGCTATCGTGGCTGTTAGTCCTTTATTCAGTCCTCGCGAGCCCAGGCCGTGTTCTCTGACGATCTGCCGCGTTACCGACCACGTACTGGGAATTTCTGTGGCCAAGGACTTGTTCGATTGAAGCGTAACCTTGACAACTTCGAATGGATTCACTAGGACAGCTTCCGTGATTCCGGCTCCTAGTCCTGCCAGAGAAAACGTCTGAAAAGGGTGGGGGGGTATGTGAAAATTAAATTTCAGTTGTGAGTATGACTTTTGATACATGCGAATCATTGACATGTATTTTTTTGACGTGACAGCGTCTNCAGCTTCCGTGATTCCGGCTCCTAGTCCTGCCAGAGAAAACGTCTGAAAAGGGTGGGGGGGTATGTGAAAATTAAATTTCAGTTGTGAGTATGACTTTTGATACATGCGAATCATTGACATGTATTTTTTTGACGTGACAGCGTCTTATAATTCGATGGAGCCGGCTGCACGCACAAAAAAAACATGACTCATGCGGCGTTACCTCGCTCTGAGGCGTATTTTCTTATTACGTCACGTTCAACTATCGTCAGTAAACCGACTTTACAGACAACCGATTTTTTTTTCAAATTCTTTACCTGATGCTTCAGCTTGGGTGACGGTATTGACGTCTGTTTCTATGGGCTCCGATATACCACTTTAAACGCTTTACTGCTTCACGGCAGAAATAGGCGGGGTGGTGGTACCTACCCGTGCGAACTCGCAAGAGGTCCTATCAACGATAATTACGCAAATTATAATTTAGCGGGTTTGATTTTTATTACACGATGTTATTCCTTCACCGCGGAATTCAAACGGGAACATTTGTTAAGTACGTATTTCATTAGAATAATTAGTACCCGCCTGCGCAATTCGAACACCGGTGCATCGCCATATACGAATGCACCGGACGTCTTTTCCTTTAGGTCACGACGACTTTCCACGATTTGGAAGATAGATCTAATCTAAATATGAACTGCTGAGTAAAAAGTGTTAAAAATATCTGGATAGATGATAACAAACTTTCATTACATATTTTCAATTTTCAATTCATTACACAATTTCAAATCACCTTTGTCACCAATGTTCCAACTTTTATACTTAGAAACTTATTTAGATAACCGACAATATTTAAACAATCATCATTCTGTTGACATATTGTACAAGATTACATTATCAAAACTTCGTTGTGTACTTTTTGTTTAATTCTCACAATGAATTTCAAATAATGCTTTTGATATAAGCATCTTATCTGTAACATTTAATGTACTTGATTAATATTGACACTATTCTGTCTTGTTTATCTTTGAATTTAAAGGATGAAAATCAAAAGATAACATTGATTTTTTTTATCTTAGAATTACATGTAATTTTATCTTAGAATTGGATATCCCTAAGTCTTTGTAATAAATCTTTGTAATAATTGTCTTTCTAGTAAAGTAATTGTAATGTTTAATTATAAAAGTTTGAATGCCAGATGTGGTTGTAAACATATTGTATTGTTGTAAAATAAATCAAAATGAGTAGACAATTAGATGACTAGCTCATGCTATTTCAAGCATCTATTAAAGCTGTAGAGGTTTGTAGAAAAAAATAATACACTTATTTTGTATAATAAAGAACTTATTGAAATGCGCTAATTAAGTTCTAAGATTCAAACATTATTAAAGCTTTTGGATAAGTTTGAGATGACTTGTGGGCTCAGAGTTCATTTTTTGTTTAGTACCTACTGAAGACTGTAAATATCATCATACACATGCAGCCACCTTGCAATACAAGGTTTAGCCAGTGTAGTAGATCAGCTGAATGCCCCAGTATTGAATCCTATGACTTATTCACAGCAGGTGGTTGTACCCAATGCTCACAATTACAACTTTTTTTCCCCTACCTGTTCACTGATAGCCTAAGGAGCTATTTTTCAGCTACGCCCCGATTAGTTGAGCTCACCAGCTCAACCTGAGAGAATTTGCTAACAATAACCTCAGCAAGAGCAGAGCTCGACAAAATCTACCACCAGATGGGAATCGAGACCCACTGAGAAGATCCAACAAGATAGTCAGCACACAGAATACTTAACCAGTACTGCACTACTACTATTAAATTACATTTTGAAGGATCAATTTTCATTACTTGACATTTTATTTTATTATATTATTTTTATTCATTATATTGTCTGCAAAGTACTTACAGATCTAATATTAAGGTTTTTGATTTTGTTTTTATTGATCATTATTTTATAAAACTTTACAGTTACCATAAACATACAGATGTAAACATGCCAGTTACGAAATGCATTTTTTCTGGTCAAGGTTTTTAAACTATTTACTTACAAGTGGCGTAGGAGTATCTGATCCGAACATAAAAAGCTTCTTGTATTGTTCGAAAGTTGCAAATTTAACAGCTCTTTTAGGGGTTTCTGCCAATATAGGAGGCAGAATACCTTTCCAAAATGAGGTGAAACCTTCGTACCTATACATTTTTTTCATGCAATCTATAATACCGCTGTAGTAATGTGGATCTGATGGTTTCATTGCTGATTTGTTACTTTGTATTTGAAGCCTAGTCTTGACCAAATCCAGTGGGTGCATAATACACACTTCCACAAAACCCGCGCTTCCACCGGCACCTATTTGCATAGCTGCTTGTTTTAAAAGTTTTTCAACGTCAGACATTTTAGATATATATTTATGATTTTATTTTTATTTTAGTTAGAACCAGTTGCTATTAAACGTGTTTTTATTTATAAATGCACAACACCTCTCCTTTCTTTCCTGAGCTCAACTGCGAAATGGAAATGTCTCAAATGTCTCTGATGAAAATAAATAAATAACGCCAGCTGTCTCGACTTTTTTTTTTAAGACATCTGGATTCCGGTCTTTTAAGTAAAAAAGTTAATTGCTGTGCTAATCATGAAATAAAATTAGAACTTATTAAAATTAAATCGAAATGAAATATATTTTCAATATCTATATATATATAAATGAATTGCTATTCGTTAGTCTCGCTAAAACTCGAAAACGACTGGACCGATTTGGCTAATTTTGGTCTTGAATTATTTGTGGAAGTCCAGAGAAGGTTTAAAAGGTAGAAAAATATGAAAATGCTCGGAATTAAATAAAAAGAACAATTTTGTTTTTCCTTTGATGTGTTCCCTGTCGGACGGATTCCTTTTGTTTTCTTTCATTTATTAATTGAGGCACTACGAAGCTTGCCGGGTCAGCTAGTTCTAAATAAAATTCTTCTGAGCCCTTTTTATTTAAATGAAAAATGATTATTAATGGGAATGCTCCTAGCATTCAGACAGATGGCATCTTAGCGCAAAATTCGAACATAATGTATTTGCAGAGTCGCACTACATGATCATCATCATGATTATCATCGTCTCAGACTGTCCACTGTCCACTGCTGTGAGTCGCGCTACACCGGTTATGAACTTGCTGTAGTGGTACTAGAGTAGAAGATAAGCCGATTTATAAAAATAAAATCTTTTAGAAATTCTTCAAGATTTTGTAGCTAAGTATATAAAAAAATACTTGGAGATACCTACCTAGTTTCTGAAAAATTTAAAATATTTATTTTTGTACATTATTGTGAGCAGCCGCACTTTCTTTGGCTGATAGGTACTTTGAAAAAAATGACATTGACATTAGACAAATTGCATACAATGTCAAAATATTTTTTGCGTTAGAGAGTTAAATTGCTAAACATAATTAATAATGTATGCATTGAAGCCTTAAAATTATGATGAATATCTTTTATGATGAATATATTACATCTATGTGAATTTCATTAATTCTCACGTTTCTTACTGGTATGATAGCCTAGATTGTTGCTCTAAGTCAATGTCGATAAAGACTATTTTCGCGCGTACACTTAGAACCAAAATGGCAGGAAGGGTAACATTTCGCATTAATCGCTGTAAAGTGAAGATTACATTGTGATTTTCGTAAAGTGAAGTGTATGTGTAACGTGTGTTTATAGAAATGTGGAGATAGTTAATAAAATGGGTTCACAAACACTAGAGATATTGCGTCAAGGTGTTTGGGCGTCTTTAACTGGGGGATGGTTTTATGATCCACATCAAAATTTGTTTTGCAACACGGTCCACCTTTATATCTGGCTGTTTCTACTATGCGTACCGTTCTCAGTCTATTTGGTGAGTGTGACAATAAACATCTAATTGGAACTTGGATAATTTAGGTTAGAAAACGTAATGTTCGTAAATCAGGTCATATTGTTTTTGTTGTTCTGAGATGTGATAGGTAGTACTTTAGTTATGCTTTTTTAAGTTCTTATAGACGTCATAAATTTAGAAATACGTACCGTACGTACGTTATTGCGATTTCCCCAATATTGAACAAAAAAATATTTTTTACGACTTTTTATTAAAAGACATGTTCTGCCTTGTGATTGTACAGAATAAGCTACTAGGAAGAGTTGCTATGTTATAGCACCAACAATAAGCTCCATTAAGAACACAAAATCTGTGGAGTGCTATGACATGTAATTCATATAAGATTGAATTAGAACCCTGGGCAGACAGTGAGATGGCTGTGCTTCTGGCATTGCCAGCTTCCTTGAGTGACATTAACCACTTATTGCCATCAGATTATGAAATTCTTAACCTAGGTTTTTTTTTTGTTACTAGTATTAGGATTTTGACAGATCCAAAACATTGTGAAACAAGCTTAGACATATGGTAAACAAACTGCTTTGATGCATTAGTCATTTCCTTGTTGCGGGGTATACTTTTGGTTAAGTGAATATGCCATGATTTTGTACCAACTAAGCATAATTATGGGAAGTGTTGATTTTCTTCTTTGAAGAAAACAGCAGCTGTTGTGTAGCGAGATCTCTAAAAAGCTTACAGTGATGCTACCAAATAACATGCTGTGACATTGACGTTGCTTCCTTTGCTTCCAAGATTTGATGCTCATGACCCTCTGTCTATATGAACAAAACCAAAAAACCATTGTAATTGCTGAATTGGCTTTACTCCTTCACGAGGATGTGTACACAATATCAGCTTGCTTCAGCAATTTATTAAAATCGAGAAACTTCTTCTAAAAACTTCCTAATGGGTTGAAGCCAAGAGATATTCAGTATCATTATTTTGTCTGTAAACAACTACTCCAGTGTTACAAAGGGTTTTGATCACATTATGATGGGTGATGAAAAATGGATTCATTATACCAATCCTATCTGCAACACTGTCTGCAATCAGTCCTAAGACTAAATGGATTTGTTACATGTGTCTCAGGTGGATATTTAGAGAGCTTCCCAGTGAAAGCATTCTCCTATTGTGTTGTTGATTTCTTGTATTAATTCCCTTGGATATCAATCGTTTTTAGTTGCTTTCAGTAGCTGACGACCAGAGGTGATGCTAAAATTAGAAGCTTGTTTTTGTATTGTATTCTGGACAGTTATAATAATTTCTTCTTTACTTTTTTGGAGTTCAGCATTCTAAGGATCTCTGTATTTGTAATAAACCAAATGTGTTGGTTATATTTCTGGGTAGGCATTCATTCGATCACAATTATGTTGAAGTCCATGGCACCACCCTACATTTGGGTGCCTTAGGTTCATACAGGCTTAAATATTGTTTTATACATTAGTTGTTTATTAAAATGGTAATATGTTGTAAATAATAGACAGAAACTATTTACAAATAGGGAAAAAAATTAGGCAAATGTGCTGCGAGAACTTAGATAAATCATTAAGTAAGGGCGTCTTCTTACCTTGTATCCAATATGACCATTTGAAGAGCAGCCTTCTGATTCAATTCCTAAATTTAAAGTCATTAAGAAAAGATGTTTTTTTCTTTCCAGTATTTCCCACCATCAAGCTTAGGTTGGATCATATATTGCATCCTTGTAGCTGTACTATTCACAGGATTAAAGCTTCTGAATAGAAGCCTACATCATTTGTATGACACCTCCGAGTTCATAGTTGTACAACCTTCTGATGACCCTAACACCTCAAATGAGAACAATACGTAAGTGCTCTTTATTATCTTCCTCAGCTAATCATATGAATGAAAAATGCTTTTGTGTAGTGGTTTTGTGAGTGCGAATGTTTTTTGTCATTCTATACACATACCTTCATTTACATCTCATCCAACTATTTAAGTTTTCATAAAACATTACTGTAAAATCTTATCCTATAGATTAGGTACTGCTTTAAAAATTAGGCAATACACCATTATGGTGGTAGTGTATTTTGTGAGCCCATACGGGTAGATTCTACTATCCGGCCTATTTCTGATATGAAGCAGTAATGTGTTTCAAATTGAAGGATGGGCCAGCCGTACTATAAAACAGAGACTTAGATCTTATATCGTAAGATGGATGGTGACTTTTATACATTGTTGATGTGGGTGTGCTCTGGTATTCACTTAACACCAGGCGGGTCATAAACTCCAACCCATCTAAAAAATTTAAATAATCTAAATATACCCCATGAGTGTACTAAAATTATTACACCCAATCTAGTGGCAAGCACAGTTACCAGTGTAAATGCTGTTGATTGTTGCACGCTGGTACAATACTCAGTAAGCGGTGCTGCATATTCTCTTCTGAATCCTTTAGTCGGTTTAAAACACTCAGTACACAAAATAGACTATCGACTGCAAAGCCCTTCCTGATTGCACTTCAAATTATTCAATATTATGTATATGACTTGACAGAACTGAAAAAGAGAAATGTTATTACACTTTTATAAGGGTAACATTTGATGCCTCCAACCATAACACACTATCTATTCGTACAATATTGTTCATCTTTTTGTACGAAACCGCCCGCAATATGTTGTAACTAAATTAACAACAATATACTTTCGACTTATAAGATTAACTACAAAAAATAGAATTGAATAATAATAATAAGTCCAAATTAATAGTTTCAAAAAGCTCCTTAAAAGGTTTACCTGATGACATAAGCATGCTATATTTTATGCTATTCATTTCTATCAACATCTATTCATGATCAGAAAGATTTTGATCTCTTAATTCCCTACAAGTAAGCTGAGATTTGCCTTGATTCTATTGCTTAATTTTGGTAAACTTTAGGGGTTTAATAGAGTAAAATAAAAAAAAATTAAAGGAAAATATGTTTTATTTTATTTTTTATTTAGTACGGACGAGGGCATCGAGATGCAGATGATGAAATTGACAGCTGCAGCCGCATCTGGAACTGACAATGAATCAGTCACATCCCTCGAGTACCACAAACCCAACAATAGCACTATAGGTATGTGATAATAATTTGATAGGCAGCGGTAGGCAGCAGTTTGGCTCTGCCCCTGGCTGAAGTCCGTGGGCGATTGTAACCACTCACTATCAGGTGGGCTGTATACTCGAATGCCTAAAAGGTCAATAAAAAAAACGGAATAATGATCAAAACAAAACATCTAAATTCTTCAAGTGTGAGTTTTGAGTATAGCCAAGAAAACGTATGCTGAATAGCCTATACGCCAGAAACCAGAATTCATGACTGATTCGTGGTTAAAATAGCTAGGGTCGTAGGTTTCTGTTCATTCGTGGAACCATTGGGTGTTGCTAAAACCCCCAGTGCTACTTAGTAAGTTTTCATTGTTTCATATGCTGCGATAACAATGCCCGACGCGCCATCACTTTGACCGCACACAAATTTGAGCTTAAATTCTATTTACAGCAACTATGTCTTTTAGATAATAGGATTATGAAAAGAAACAGCATTTTTTTAAAGTAAAGTATGTAGAGAATCTTAGTGGCAATACGGATTCGAAATCCATTTAACTAGTGCACTGTGTGACTGAATAGAATAATGTATATTGAAAAGAAAGAGATACAGAAGTTTCTCTTCGATTTCTATTTTCAGATTTAAAAGTAGACGTCCATCGTAAAAACAGTTCCGAAACAAGCATAGAAGACAGCGCTATATCATCGAAACAAGCAGAGCCTGTAGCGACTACGAAATCAGATTTATGTGTCGCTCAACCGGCAGACGTTCCCGGTCCATCAAGAAGCCGTCCAACAAATAGAAGTAAATCCAGATCAGGCAGAAGAGAACAGAGAACTTCCAAAAGAAGAACTTACGGGAACAGAATAGAAGAATTGATCGAAGCTTCTAGAAACCCTCGTACAGAAAGCAACGTGCCCAATCATATTTTAGTAGAAGACGGTCCCTTTGCAAAAGTTAGTCGGCGGTACAATGAGTGTCCCCACAGACGACCTACAAACCGGGATTGTTTTAAAGAATGGTTGTATTTAGATGGTCATGAAGCTGGGGAGCCGTATCAATCCAAATTTGCCCGACAGCTGAGCTCCGACTCTAGGGATAACTCGGAGCCCAGCGTCGGCCCTCCGTCACCAAAAAAACGTATAGCTCACAGGCGTAGATACACTATATATCCTTACGAAAGCTGTACTAAGTCTGCGATGGCTTTAGCGACCGGTCAATCATCTAATATGAGAAGGAATTCAAACTCCACGATGTCAACTATACAATTGCCCCTTCTGAATTCGACTGCACAACTGGTTTCCCATATGAGAAGACATTCTAACAACGCTGATACAGGGTTTTTTGCCAGCGTTGAACTTGGCGAGTACATGATGGTTAAAAAGGAAGCACCAGTAGGAGACGTTGAAAAGAATAAAGGGAAAAGCCCAGGCGTTCGAAGAATAAAAAGTGCTGCTCTAGAAATAGGGTGTCCACTTCCTAGTGTATCTAACTTATCCCCCCATCCTAATAGTGCTGAAACGATAGGTGGTCAAATGTTAAAGAACCCCAAAAGTGCTGTAATACCTCCCCCCAGCAAAAGTCTTACGCGAGGCCCCCATTTAAATCTTTATCCCAAAAATGAGAACGGAGAGGGCTGCAGTTACCCTTACTTGACATACGGATCCGAAATTGTTTATCCCATAGCAGAAATTTCTGATGAAATGCAGACATCCCAAAAAGAGACTGATTTAGACTCTAGCGGTGAGAGTTATAGTGATTACGATGATGAAAAGCAGTTCCGGGGATTTGATTGGGATGCTGAACAGTCTCTGGCGATGAGATCCAGCGACTCGGACTACGAGAACAACGGTTCCAGGTCACCATTGTTAGAAAGGCCACCTGGAATCAGAGTGGTCCGAACGAAGAGCCACGGTGATTCAAAAAAACATTGTTGTGAACGCCACAGCAATTCCAAACACAATCAGGACTCTCAATACGACAGATCTAAGTGTGTCAGATTAAAAAGATTCAAACATGAACTAGACAATTATGAAAAGCATGCTGAAAGGCAATCGGCACCTTGCGATTGCAAATCTAATGTTGTATATTTCGACAAAACTAGTGCGAGCTCAAAAGATTTGCTAATAGAGAAATCTAGCTTAGAATCAAACGATAATCCACAACAAGAGAAAAAAGTAGAAGAATCAAAAACTGTCGAGAAAAAACTGTGGGACCACGATATATTTAATTCTAGCAGCAGTAGTAGTTGTGACGTAGATAGACCTAATACTAATGTTGATAAGAACCACATTCCGGAGACAGAGGAATCACAGCTAACTGGTGACAGTAAAAGTGCAGATGAACGAAGTGTATATAGTTTAGACTGGTTGTTTGAAGAGACTGCTAAACGTGGCGTTTACAAAGAAGACTCTCTCAATCCTGACGAGGTTTTATCACAAAACGTCGCAATCGCCCTAGGAGAGTCCTCGGTTAATGTCCCAAAAAATTTAGGAGCTATACCGAAGCAATTAAAGAGCGCGACGCGGTCCCGTGCTTCATCTCAGAAAGAAAACAAGAAAAGGGATTCAAAAAAGGAAAAAGACGATAGCCAAAATGAGGAAAGAATGCTCATGGAGTCGGCAGAGGCGCAGGCCGCTTGCGCCTTAGTTCAAGGGTTGGAGTGTTTGTTTGCTGCGACGAACGCCAACACGGTCGTGATGCCCCCTCCAAACCGAGACGAGCGATCCAGGGCTCACAGGCAAAGCCTCCGCGGTGACAGAGAAAACGTACATAAAACTAGGAAACGATCTATAGAGGAAGTAGCCCAAACATCAACAAGCACTCTCTTGCCGACATCAATGCCACTTTTGGCGGCCTTTTTAAATTCTAGAGTGGATTTTACCCCTTGCTGTGCTTCGACAATGGGGCAAGCCTGTGAGAATACTACGACAGAACCATCACAAACTCAGGAAGATGGTCAAAGGCTCCGACCATTGATGGACCGCAACCATCGACATAGAGTCAGAAAAATCAAACGCTCCACCCGTAAAAGGAATAACTCTTCGTCGCAGAACAACCCCGAGACTAAGGACAACCAGTCCAATGCTGAAAATTGTAATAGTTCAACTAACGTTCACTTTGCTAAGTCATTTGATGACACGAGCGACGGAGCCATACACTGTTTCATGGACGAATACGGTAATTGGATGTCGTATACTTTCGATAAAAACGGCTGTGCTCGTGTGCAAGCGCAGCCCATACCGCTACCGGAGAAAGAGGACGGAACCAGGATAAACAGGGTAACCCCCACAGACACGGCGGCGGACAATTCCCAGGAGACCGCTGGCGAAGGTAGCTGCGGCTCCCTGGAGTCTGAAGCTGGAAACAGCGAGAGCTTAGCGAAGACCAAACGCGGGGACAGCCTGGACCGGAGCTCCTCCAACCAAGGCAGCAACAACCCCTTACTGTCGAGCAGTAATAACGTTTCGACGGTAGTCCCAATAAATACGAATACTTCCAATAAACGGTTTTATGTTTTCGACGGCGGGACCGGAACGCACACAGATCAGCCTCGCTCGCCTGTGGCCTACGTCACGGATAGCTTGCTAGAACAAATCGAAGCAGAGAGGCAGTCCCGAATGGGCCTGCCTAGTATGCACATTAATTTGCTCATGAGGGAGCAGAGAGCTCAGCAGCAAGCACAGCAACCGGCAGTGGAAACTGCGTCGACGAATAACGTTTCGAGCATGATGCCGGCAATAGGAGAAATCTCCGAAGATAATGTCGAAATACACTTCAGAAATACAATATCGAAGCTCATAGATGAGATCGGTAAAATGAATCAACCAAAGCCCCCGCCTGACCAGCCCAAGGGCTACTACAAATACAAACTGTCCAAATGTATGGAAGTTAAAGTTACAATGGACAGACTAAAGTTGATGGCGTTATTCGACAGAAACTTGACATTTTCGGAGACTTTGATTACGATACTGCTGGCCGTCATGGTGTCGGTGTTGGGTTCCATGGTGCTAAGCCTCGGCTTCTACAGGGACATATACGCGTTTTGGTTTTGTTTCATAATAGCCGGAAGTCAATATTCGTTGTTGAAAAGCGTTCAGCCGGATTCGGCATCGCCCGTCCACGGCTTCAATAAAATGGTGCTCTTCTCTCGGCCGGTGTACTTTTGTTTATGTACAGCACTGTTGTGCGGGGTGCACACGTACATGCAGCAGAGCGGGGCGTCCTCAGACGAACATTCCAGAAGTAAACGTAGCGCCGTAGAAATGAAACCCTTGACGATATACGGCTTCCAAATGAACGAAAGGGATTTTTTGTACGTCGTTCAAGAAATATTATCGAAGTTCCTTTTGTTCTTTCCGCTCGCTTTTAGCTTGGGACTATTCCCGCAAGTGAACACTTTCCTTATGTACTTGCTGGAACAAATTGATATGCACATTTTTGGTGGGAACGCGACAAGCAGTCTTAGCGCCGCTGTATACTGCGTAGCTCGCTCGATAGCGGCCGTCTGCATACTTTACGGGTTCGCGTATAGCGGCCTGATCGAAGGCAAGAAATCTCAACATCAGAAACACAATATTCTTTTCTCCATATTCTGCGGCCTATTGGTTCCTATATCTTACCACTTAAGTCGCAGTGCGAGCGATTACACACACATTTGGAACTTGATAAAGAAACACCTACTTCCACCGGAGCTGTATGTGGTGCACGGTCCCGAATGCGCGCCCGAACCAGACAAAACAGAACCGAGCTTACTGGCCGAAGACAAGAAGGACGGCTCTGAAAGCAACATCTCCAAGCAGAACTCGATTGGAAGCTCCGCCTCTAAAATCAACTTCAGTTCGGAGACGAATATCGCGCGGACTCAGAAGAGGTCTCACGCGTCGAGTGCGAGCTCTTTGAAGATGGACCCCAGGGGGGACACGATGAATTCTACGACCTCTTTAAGGACGGATCCGACCGCGGAAGCTGAAGACAAAAGTCAAGACTCAATGAACACCTCGAAGCAAGACAATACAGACAAGCCTGATGAGGAGGATATGGAGGATCCGTTGCCGAAAAAACTGCAGGCCACTGTCAACGCGCGACTGAAGAACGACGTTATAGTCTGCACCTTCCTCGGTCTCTTTGTGTTCGGTCTGCACTGCACCACAGTTTTCACCACGCTCAAACCACAACTCAATACGGTAAGTCTTTTGAAATTAATGTATAGATTATAAAATGTAGTGCCTTATTAAAAATAATCCTAATTTTGCGTCGTGAATTAAAAGTTCTTTTGTCGTAGCAAAGATAGTAATCCTGTTTATATAATGAAACTTAATTCATAATTTGGGCAGCAATTTATATCAGATTAATTTAGCATATTGGGCCAAACGACATTAAGTACATAACATGCTTACGACTTTATTTTGTGAAAACTTTCAAGGATTATAAATAAAATGTGATAGTTCCAATGCTTTAGAAGAAAAAACAGTAATCTAATTAAAATAAAAAAATATTATCTCCATCTTCCCTTAAAAACGAATATGAATATGAAGACGAAGTCTAAAAGCAGCGTGACCGCCTATTTCTGCCGGGAAGCAGTCATGGCTATGACTACCGACTCCAATTAAAGATACTATACTACAGTACCAAAACTGTAGTATTCTTCTGGTCCTTTTTCCACTATGTGGGGTAGGGGCAGAATATCCCATTTTCCATTCTGGTCTATCATACGTCACTTATGCACTCTAAGGATAACCTTTTTCACAAAGCCCATACAAGTATCTTTAGGACGACCCAACGTTTTAAAAAAAAACCAACAGTAAACAATGTACAAACGTTATTCTTTAACCCACTATGTGGGGTAGGGGCAGGATATTCCATTTTCCATTCAAGCCTATCATACGTCACCTCAGTACTCAAAGGATATCCTCTTTCACAAAGCCTACACAAGTATCTTTAGGACGACCCTACGTCTTTAAAAAAAACAACAGTAAACAATGTACAAACGTTGTGCTTCTCTGTAGGTGCTATGGATAATAGCTGGTATATTAGGTTGGATACTGCACTACCTGTTGCCCCAGCTACGCAAACAACAGCCGTGGCTGTGCTTAGCGAGCCCGGTCTTGAAGCAGCACGAGCATGCGCAGTACGAGGTCACGGAGCCGGCCAAGGTTATGCTGTTCGAAAAGGTGAGACGGAGGCCGCATTGACACTTAACCCTTCGACTGCCCTGTAGGTCACCTGTGCCCTACGCGACACACTGAACTATTTATGTCGATTTCTGTTACTAAGCTCCTCGGTTGCCTAACTTTGCTTTTTGTTTGTTAATGTAAGTTTTAGTTTTATAGGTCTCTTAGAAATAGATTCATTCTCTGTATCTTCAGATTCGTCTTTCCCAGAGTCTGCTAGATATTCCGGCGCCTTAGTAACAGAAATTCACATAATTACTTCAGTGCGCCACATAGGATCTACATGTCAGTTAAAGGGTTAAACATAAAATTATAGGTCAATTGAATATTAAAAAAATTAGGACTAGTTCCTGTTGTCTATTTGTTTCAGACTGTCCGCGGTGTGGTCGGTCGGTTTACTTCAGCATTCGATAACCGTCTTGGTTGATTATCTTCCACGAGGAAACCGGTGAATTGATCTTAACACGTTGGACGCCATAGACATCGCACATCCGACACCATATTTCCCATCTTATATATCAGAATCGTCCAAAAACAGTTGGAATGTTTTTGTAAATACTTATAGAAAAAACCGATGTACTTGTTATTTTCTGAATAGTCAAATAACAGACATGCGAGAAAGTCCAACCGTCTTTCCCTGTGCTATTAGACCAAAAGTCATTCGACGTGTTAAGAATATTCAATAGTATTGCTTACGCCACACCGGCTCCACAAGCCGATGACTTAAGCCCATGTTGACCCCGAGGTCTTTTTTTTATAGTTTAGATGAATGGACGAGCTCACAGCCCACCTTAAGTGGTTACTGGAGCCCATAGACATCTACGACGTAAATGCACCACCCACCTTGAGATATAAGTTCTAAGGTCTCAGTATAGTTACAGCGACTTCCCCACCCTTCAAACCGAAACGCATTACTGCTTCACGACAGAAGTAGGTAGGGTGGTGGTACCTACCCGCGCGGACTCACAAGAGGTCCTACTACCAGGCTGAGTCAGACCCCCCCGTAAGACCCTCGGAGTGTACCACATCGTAAAATGCTGGCGCTCGTTGTGCAGTTGTTCGTGTACCTGTGCTTCGTGGAGCGGAACGTTGTGTACCCGGCCGTGGTGGTGGCGGCCACCGCGCAAGACGCGCCCGCCCTCGCGCTCAAGTACGGGGATGCCGTGGGGGCGTTGCTGGTCTGCGTGTGCGCCCTCAAGTGTCAGTATCCACAACCAAACTATACGACTGTGTCACTAGTTTCAGTTTTAAGCGCCCTGAAAAGTCAGTATCTGCGACCCCCAACCCAAACTATACGAATGTGTCATTGGTTTCAGTTTTTTTTTTATAACTTAGTTTGGTGAAAAAACTCACAGCCCAACTGGCGTTAAGTGGTTACCGAAGCCCATAGACGTATACGACGTAAATGTCAGTTTTAACAGTACAACGGCTGCCCCGCCCTTCAAATCGAAACGCATTACTGCTTCACGGCAGAAATAGGCAGGGTGGTGGTACCTATCCGCGCGGACTTACAAGACTTCCTACCACCAGTGAAAACAGTTTCAATATGTAGTAGTTGTATTTTTTCAATGGGAAAGGCAAAGGTATCAAACCATACAGCTTAATCTTTTGTGCATTCTTTTTTATGAAAAATAATCTGGTTGGTGGTTGGTAAATGGTGGTTATTTACTGAGACTTTTCAGTGGACTTTTTTGAAGATCCCGAGAAGCTACGTCCAGCGACTTTGTTTTATTTTCCCACATTTGTGTACTTTCACGAATACTAAGCAGTTAATAAACCACCGTTATTACACATTTAAACCTGAAGAAACACTAAATAGACAAAATAAAACAATTCACACAACTTCGCACCTCGCGTTCCCGCCAAAAAGTCCACACAACTGTTTCATTTACTCTTTTAAACGTCATTGTCATTTCAAATGATCATTAAAAAGTAATTTTTCTAGATATTTTAGGCAGAGTCGTGAGAACATTTAGCCGTCTATTTCGCATGCCCGCACTTAATGGTGATGACGTCATATCCGTATATTTTCTGTTGCACAATAATAAAGTTTAAATTGGGTCTTATTCGTAGATAAATATCAAATAGTGTTCTTATAGCCTAACCGGGATAAGGGATTAGTGCTGTTAATAATGAGAACAATGACGTTTACTTATTTTTGTTTTTTTTATTTTATTTTTTGTTTTGCACGCGATGTATGACAATTTTTACGACCACAGAGGTATCCGAGGATCGACTACCAATTGTTTTCGCGCTAAATCTGTGTTCATTAAACCACAAATATTCATGTATAAATTTTGTTTAAAAATGTTGTAGAAAAAAAACTCTCGTTAACGTTTGATTTCCTATTCCAATTCCACTCCGTCGACGAGAATTACATTATTCCGAACATTGTAAAATTGTCGTGAAATTAAAATCCGAGAGTAGTTTTAATTACAATGTAGATAAGGTTCATTTCGCACTGACAGGTCTTCGACACGCATATTCGGAGCCGGACAGCCAGTACCTGATAGTGGTGTTCGCGGTTCTGATCTTCCAGAAGGATCTCAGCAGCCGGGGTACTTCAGAAACGTTTCTAGTCGATTATTTCGTAACGGCCATTATATTCAGCAAGGTCTATGAATTTTTACTAAAGGTAAGTTCTATTTTTAATACGCTTTTATTAGCTTCAGACGTATATGTATGTTTGTAACGGAATCTCTGAACATTATTTTGACCCCCTTCAAAACGTCGGATTAACTGGAAATCTGGTATAATTTTTAAGGACAGATGGCAATACAATATTAAAAAAAAAATATTGAAAAAATTGAAATTCAACTAAAAAGGAAAAAAAAGTTTTAATAAATTTGAATTAAAAATAGTGTAAGAAAAAATGATTTTATTGTAAAAAAAAGCGTGGGGTTCATGGAATCAGTAGTTATAAATATTTTATGAACAGATATGAGTAGAAGGGTTATTTTGATAATATCCTGAAAAGCACCATCGATCCTTGACATTATCGATAGTTTTTGCCAACTTGCCAAACAAATATTTTTACTGTCGGTACAGTACCTGACAATAAATATTGCACTTCGACCTTTGGAAAAAGACATTCGGATAATTTCGGTTTCGTAGAGCGCCATCTCTGTCTATGCGTGCATGTAGAGAACACCATAACGTAAATTCCGTGGACCATGACCCACGAGATAGAAGTCACGATTTAGCGATATGACAGTAACCCTTGCATTAGACATCTTTGGCTACACTAGGATTACGGACCCCGGTAACCGTACTCGTCGAACTTTGGCAAAGGGTTCGACGTGCAACCTAACCTAAACATCAGCCCGCTGAGTTTTCTATAGTTATCAGCGGGTCGCGATTCCGATCCGGTAGCAGATTCAGTCGCGAAGCAGCTACTCTTGAGTTGTTTGGTCTCCTTTGGAGGCGCTCGGGCAGCTATAAGCAAATCCCACCCCTCCTGGCTGAGACCTTGCTCGCCCTCCTGATAATCTCTCAAACATAAAAAAAAGATATAACAGTCAACCCTATCTTTGTACGCCTGGCGCTTTTGTGACGAAAATTAACGTGTCTATGATCACAGAACTCCCGAATTCATAAAACTTCAACATACAAGTGAAAGAAAGATATATTTAACATACAGGTACAGTTCGTTGTGACGTACATAGCGCCGTGGCAGATCACGTGGGGCAGTGCCTTCCACGCCTTCGCACAGCCCTTCTCGGTGCCGCACTCCGCCATGCTGTTCCTGCAGGCAGCCCTCTCCGCCCTCATATCATCGCCTCTGACGCCAGCCCTAGGTATTAATAGAGCACTACTGGTTCCCAGCTAGTCGAAATTCGACTATAATTAATTGAAATTATAAGCTTGTACGCTATTATGATTATATTGTCAAAGACTATTTTATACTTCTATAATCACAGATTTCACTAAGACTACACTATAGACAAATATTAATAATGACAAACAATATTCAATCTATTCTCAATTTGACCACAAACTATAATATATAGTAGAGTATATAAACCACATGGAAGAGAGACCATGTTCTTAGTTAATTTGTTTTAAAGAGTGAAATCTGTAAAATTTTAAATTAAAAATATTTTTAGAATCAACCTATATAGTGCTTATGGATGAACAGATCACCTTAACCCATGATACAATAGTAAATAAAACACTTAATTGCACTTAGGTTCAAAAAGTATTATACGAAAAATTATTATATGCATTTATCTATAATATATGTGTATATATATATTTATGCTTATGAATGGTATGTATACATTGTGTATATATTTGTAATTTAATATAAAATTAATTGCACCTACCACTATTTTCTTTGCACTACCTTTGGTTGACTGGTGGAGAATGCCTTAGGCATTGAGTCCGCCGATGTAAATTTTACATGAAGTGTAATAAATAAACAAAGTAAATTAGAAAAATTTAACTCACAACTAAAGTACAATGTCCGGACTTATTGCTGAAAGTTATCTCTTCCAGTCAGCCTTTGCATGGAGATGATTTTGGAAGGTGTCATAGAAACAATGCCTAGGAGCGCAGACCACCGCTGGCTTGACTGTTACAGGTAGCGCCATCTTTATGACGTCATACGTGCGTCCGATAAAATTCTGGGAACGCGACTACAACACCAAGAGAGTCGACCAGAGCAACACCAGGCTGTCGTCGCAACTGGAACGGAACCTGGGGTCTGGTGAGTTACATGATGCTGGATTATAACAGCCAAGCGTTCTGTGACAGTGTACAATAGATACCACTTATATAATATATAGATACCACTTAATAAAACAATCTTACAAAAAAATCTTCTCCACTAATTCAAAACAGCCAGTCTGGGGACCCGTGACATGATTCCACATCCATAGCACAAAAAAAAATGAAAATAATAATCACCTAGAATTTCTTTACTGAATTAACTAACTTATTAAATTTTATAAATAACTTTGTAAACTTTGCCTGAACATATTATATAAATAATAAGAACTTATTATAACATAAGAAGAATAAATCAGTAAAATTCTAATATAATAAAATAAGTGTGGTTACATTATAGCCATTAAATCACTAATATATAAAGACATAGATTAAACAATGAGACACGATAGTTACTCGCAATTTCATTGGGGCGAAGAAGACACAAATTAAAATGTATATTAAATTTTTTTTAAAGATGACAACAATTTAAATTCGATATTCTACGAGCACCTGACGCGCTCGTTGCAGCACTACCTGTGCGGAGACCTCATGCTGGGCCGCTGGGGGCAGGTGCAGCAGGGGGACTGCTTCGGTGAGACTCCAGCCATGATTGTCCGGCCAGATTGACCAACTTGACTCCTAATAACGCTACTATAGTGTAGCTACTGTATACAACTATAAACTATATACACAGCTTAAACTGGTGCTTTTAGGTACCTCAAGCACCGGTTATCGTTCTCGTCGAACCCGTCGCTTGCGACGAAGGGCTCGACGAGTAAATTAACTCTCAGACACAGCCCACTGAGTTTCTCGCCGGATCTTCTCAGTGGGTCGCGTTTCCGATCCGGTGGTAGATTCATCCGCAAAGCAGTTGCTCTTGAGTCGTTAGGTCTCCTTCGGAGGCGCTCGGGCAGCTGTTAGCAAATCTCACCCCTTCTCGCTGAGCCTATGCTCGCCCACCTGTTCTGGTGAAGCTAGAAAGTCACCAGGCCAGCAGTAATCCTTCAATTCTTAAAAAAAAATCTAAAACATTTTTTTTTTCTTACCTATCTACTGACCTCGAAGTGTCATACTACTCACCGAGTGAGTAGGTGAGCTCACGGGGCTTTAAATTGTGGAATGAATAATATGATAACCTTATTCCTTATTCTTTCACAGTTTTAGCATCAGATTATCTGAACTGCCTAGTGCATATAGTTGAAATGGGGAATGGACTAGTGTCCTTCCAACTAAGAGGCTTGGAGTTCAGAGGCACTTACTGCCAGCAGAGGGAAGTGGAAGCGATATCCGAGGGACCAGAGGATAATAGCGGTAAAATAAATTCATTTTCATTCATTAAAACATCCTTTTATAATATTTAACTAAACGAATAAAATCTTCAATTCTTTTTGAATAAAATTAGTGTTGGGGTTCAAGGGGAAGTTTGTAGAGTTCCAAAAGAGTATGTTGTTTGAGCACCTTTATTATGTTAGTTAAGTACAAATGATAGCGCGTTAACGAGTACGTGTTGCTAAGTGCACTGCTATACAAGAATGTAATAAAATAATTGGACAGCACAACGACGACGCACGGCCCGTCAACGTATTGAGTTAGGTATGTACAAACCGTGCAATTAAAATGTTTTCGATACTTGAATATTTGTTGTATATATAAAAAAACGCCGAGGTGCCTATTGACCCCCTCCCCGCGTGGTGCAGAGGGCGCGTGCGGCGGGCGCTGGTGGGTGTCCCCGGGCGCGGCGTGGGCGCTGCGGTGGCTGGCGTGGCAGCTGGCGGCCGCGCGCTACGTGCTGGAGGGGTACTCCGTGTCCGACAACAGCGCCGTCTCCATGCTGCAGGTGTTCGACTTCCGGAAGGTGCTGCTCACCTACTACGTCAAGGTCAGCGCGTCTACACCATTGATTCGTGTGTTGCGATTTGTTCACGCTGGTTGAAATTATGTGATGTGAAATTGCCACTGCGGTCATCCACAGTGCGTTTCCAGAGATATTTTTTGCCACGTACCATCCGGCTTTGGAATGAGCTCCCCTCCACGGTGTTTCCCCTAGCGCTATGACATGTCCTTTATCAAACGGGGCTTGTGGAGAGTATTAAGCGGTAGGCTACTGCTTCCAATGCCAGGGACAGACACAAGTGTCTGCCCCTGGCATTGCTGAAGTCCATGGGCAACGGTAACCACCCACCATCAGGTGGGCCGTATGCTCGTCTTAATTACAAGGACAATAAAAAATTAAAAGTAACCAAATTATAATTCTATCTTTATTGTAGAGCATCATTTACTACACGATACAGTCGAGTAAGTTAGAAGAGTGGCTGGCCTCTCCCACAATAGCCGAGGCTTTGAAACCAATAAATGAGAGGAACTTCGTCGACTTGGATCCAATATTCAATGTTAATCTGGATGAGGATTACGATTTTCGAGCATCTGGGATCACAAAGTGAGTGAACTTTAAGAAGTCATTCTGAATTTTATGTTGCTACATGTTTACTTCTAATATAAAAATGAATATTCGTAACCTGTAAAGTAACAGTAAAGTGGTAAAATGGTATGTCTGCTTGTACAGGAGCAAGTTCGTGTCGGTGTACGGCGAGTGGGTGTCGGTGTGTGCGGCGCGGCGGGGCGGGGCGGGGGGCAGGCGGCGCGGCGCGCGGGACGGCTCGCTGGTGGCGCTGTGCTTCGCGCTCAGCCTGCTCGGCCGACGAGCGCTCGCCGCTGCACAGCACCTCTCCGCCTCCAGGTACAGACAGCTCCCTATACGCACGCGCTCGAGCGGGTGCGGCGTGGCGTGGCGTGGTGGGGCGGGACGGGGCGGGGTGCTAACTTGACACGATGGGTAACAAAAGGAAGTAAAATAATTGAGGTCTAGCAGTTCCTTTAGGTGATGGCGTAGTTCCAATCTACTTTGCCTAATGCATTAACCAAGCAATGGAATATAACTGTAGGTACACAAGTCAATTAAAATAAGAAAAACTCTTAAAATTTTATCACATGTCACTCTTAAGTAGTTCTTCGAATCAATTATTCCAAGAGGACTGAGTATCTATAAATAGTGAATGCACCCAGTTTTACTCCCTACAATTTTATTATACAAAAATATTATTAAGGAGATATGACGTTTTGTCCGATCTTATAAGTTTTCATAACGTAAATTAATTTGTAATTTAAAAAGGCCTGTGTTCTTAATGCGAGTTTTTTAACGTTCTCGATAGCGTAAAAGTTAGTTCATATTTGTATGGAGTAGGATCGTTTGCGTACGTTTGCCGCTAGGAGCGCTGTTCCAATTGCATACAAAACTGGGTTAATTTTTACGCTATCGAGAACGTTAAAAAACTCGCACTAAGTCAAATCAAATCAACACTGGTTAATCCTTCGTAATGAGTGAAGTAAAGTGAGATGGTAGATGTGAGTTGAAGGGCGGGGCAGCCGTCGTAACTATACTTGAGACCTTAGAACTTATATCTCAAGATGGGTGGCGCATTCCCGTTGTAGATGTACATGGGCTCCAGTAACCACTTAACACCGGGTGGGCTGTGAGCTCGTCCACCCATCTGAGCAATAGAAAAAAATCCTGATGGCGTGGCGTGTCCGCAGCGTGGAGTTCTTCCTGTACGGGCTGCACTCGCTGTTCAAGGGCGACTTCCGCATCACGTGCGCGCGCGACGAGTGGGTGTTCACCGACATGGCGCTGCTGCACGCGGTGCTGGCGCCCGCCGTGCGCATGGCGCTCAAGCTGCACCAGGTACCGGCCCGCAACAGTTCACTTTACTACTACTACTACTCTTATATTGAAGTGCAACTTCTAATGCGACTTCTAACAAGGTAGCGTTAAACGCTTAACGCTACCTGGGGAGGGGGAATAGAAAGAGAGAGCGAGAGTGAACGCATGCGCGTGGTATACCAGTTACAGGCGAGCGCGAGCGTTAGCAACATTTAAACATATATATTTCTATCTATAATTTAAAATATATAAATTATAAATGTTGAAGACGTCGCATCTCTTATACACAGCATTCTCTATTACAAGAGCTAATCTGATTTAAGAATGAAAAATGAAGAAAATCACAATACTACACATCGAGAAAGAAGTTTCACTTCATTCACGTGCACCTATTTACACGCCCACCGTTTTTTATTTATTTAAAAGAGCTGATTGTTACACAATTAAAATTATTACAATCACAGTTTCTCTTTAGTTCGTTAGGTATAATTTTTTTATAAAGTCCAATTAGACATAAAGATGGCTCTTAGAGAATTTTCTTTTTACCTCATCGCTAGTAATCTCAGAGGCTATTAAGCGGCATGTGGACGGGTAGGTGACCCACGGGGCTCAATTCGAGCGTATTTATTAACACTAGCCCTTTATATTTTACTTTCGGAACATCGCTAATGCGCTGGCAGGGTCGCCCTATAAAGCATCGACACCGCAGCAAACATGAAACACGTTTTTACTATTCAAATACTTATTTATTACTCACTTTAATCTTATTACACCACAACTAGCATGAACAGTGGTTCGCTAAATCTACCACTGGATTAAAATCGGGATCGGGTGGGAAACCCAGTGGGTTGTGTCCGTGGTCTAGGTTGCACATTTCTCACGCAGAGATTCTCGTGCAGGACCACTTCATGTTCCCGGAGGAGTACAGCAGCAGCTCGGCTCTGTACGCGGCCATCTCCGCGCACTCGCAGCGCCTCGTCATCTGCCACGAGGCGGCGCCCGCCTGGCGCTACAACGTGCTGCGGGGCGCGCCGCACCTCCTGGCGCTCAGGTGAGTCGCGCTATCGACCCGCGCGCTGCGGACACAACGCGCCCGTCATCTGCCACGAGGCGGCGCCCGCCTGGCGCTACAACGTGCTGCGGGGCGCGCCGCACCTCCTGGCGCTCAGGTGAGTCGCGCTATCGACCCGCGCGCTGCGGACACAAGGTAGCTTTCTAATAGCCTTGAGAGGCTATGTCAGCGTAACCGGACGCATAGGTGAGCTCACGGAGCTCAAACCTAGCGAAGTTGCTAACACTGGCCCTAGCAGGAACAGAGCTTCACAGAATCTACCACCGGATCGGAAACGCGACCCACTGAGAAGATCCGGCTGATATAGAGACGACTCTATATAAAGACAATTTATTGCTAAAGCGCGGCAGAACAGAATTGGTTTGAGTAGCGGAAACACACATTGTATGTATTATTCCTTTTATAAAATAAACTAGGTGTTACAGTTTCCTTTTTTTTAAAAGAGCTCCTGGATCCACCCCGTAACAGTAACACAGAAGTCGCTCTTCCCTCAGACACGTGATGGACGAGGGCATCGACGACTACAAAATAATAATGCTGAACAAACGGCACCTCGGCTTCCGGGTCATCAAGCTGAACCGGGAGTGCGTCCGCGGGCTGTGGGCCGGCCAGCAGCAGGAGCTGGTCTACCTGCGGAACCGGAACCCGGAGAGGGGCTCCATACAGAACGCCAAGCAGGTACGAAACACTCATTTTGATATCCTTAGATCTTATTTATTCACATTCAATATCCTAGTTTACACGATTTGCCCTACTAATTGTTTCATCTCGGGCAATATTTATCTCGTTAGCTTTTAACAATTGAATCTTGCGTTCATAATTTTCGTGATCGCGGACCGCGTGATATGTCTACGACTCGCTATTACTGAAGAAAATACTAAATTGTGATATATTTGACTATTAAGTCGTCGTGTAAAGGATAAGACGTCCGGTGCATTCGTAGGTAGCGATGCACCGGTGTTCGAATCCCGCAGGCGGGTACCAGTTTTTCTAATGAAATACGTACTTAACTTAGAAAAAAATGTTCACAATTGACTTCGACGGTGAAGGAATAACATCGTGTAATAAAAACCAGAGAAATGAAACCTCCTTACAACTCATGTCTCAAGGTGGGTGGCGGTATTTACGTTGTAGTTGTCTATGGGCTCCGGTAACCTATTATTGCTAATAATATAAGCAATATTTTTTTTTTGCTACCAACGTACTCCGGAGAGAGCTGATCGCGTCCTCTGTCGACAGGCCTTGAGGAACATAATCAACTCGTCGTGCGACCAGCCCATAGGGTATCCCATCTACGTGTCGCCGCTCACCACCTCGTACGCGGACACGTCGCCGCCCGTGCGCCGCCTACTGGGCGCCGCCGTGTCCGCGCGCGGCATCCGGCGCCGCCTCGCGCAGCTGTGGCGGCGCGTGCGGCGGCGCTGCGGCGAGGGCTGCTCCAGCGGCGCCGCGTGCGAGGCGGGCGCGGGGGGGGAGCCGCGCACGCCAGCCCCGCCCCCCGCGCGCACTTCGCTCGGTACGCCGACCGCTCCTAGCCTAGCTAAGCCTTGGTGTCTATAACCCGTTATATCGCTTCAGAGTTAAGATGTACGTTGACCCGTTTCGATGAATCTCAAGATGATAACATTATTGAAGTGAAACTTCTAATGCGACTTCTAACAAAGTTGCGTTAAACTACCATACTAGAAAAAGACAGAGCGAGAGTGGATGCGTGTCACTCGAACGCACGCGCGTAGTATACCTGTTTGAAAAATAAATAAAACCACAATACTACACATCGAAAAAGAAGTTTCACTTCATACACGTGTATCCTTGAAAATTTTTTTCAAGAATGCACGTTGATTTTGCCACGGTTTTTTTCCCGATTCAAGATGTTGTCCATGTGAATGGTACTCCTATTCAGTCTGGCCGTACTGGTAACGTCGGATGTTGTCAATACCCACAAATACAGATGAATACTTTTTGTCGTTATATTTGAATCGTTACTGTTCGAATAGTAATGAGAGTTCGCCCGCTGAGTTTCTCGCCGGATCTTCTCAGTGGGTCGCGTTTCCGATCCGGTGGTAGATTCTGCGAAGCACTGCTTTTGCTAGGGCCAGTATTAGCAACATTCCGGTTTGAGCCCCGTGAGCTCACCTACTAGTTAAGGTTACGCTGAAATAGCCTCTCAAGGCTATCAGATTAGGTAGGAAAAAAAATATAATAATAATTAGTTCGTTGTCCCTCTTCAGCCGGTACGCGAGGCAGCCTGGCCAGCGCCGGCAAGCCCGCGTCCACGCTGGCGTCGCTGGCGGGGCTGCTGCGGGAGCACTCGCACGAGCGCGCGCTGGAGGAGGCCGGTAACTACCTCGACCACTACCACTACCATCGGTTCTCGCGAGTCTTAAAAATTACAACTGTTTCACGATTTCATTTGGCTTGTGTATATTATATGCGTTTTATTACTTCCAAAGTTTTGAATGCTTTACCGAGCGTGGTTACGGACGATTGACAATGTCGTTCGTCGATATTTTGATATTGTGCTAAGGACTTTAAAACAATGTCTATAGAAGTATATGTTTTGACTTCTGTACACCGAAATACCTTCGTTCTGATGGTTACTTATTCAGAGGACGATCATTTAAAATTATTTTAAGTTATCATTGAACTAACAAATCGAGTACATGTGATAGAAGTTCAACTTCTTTGGGAAGAGTGAAGTATTTTCAATACTTGACATCAGTAGACCATTACTATGAAATGCGTATTCACTTTTTATTATAGATATAATACGTTTAACCCTTTTGAATTTCTCTGTCTTTAAATGTATTATTAGTATTTATTCGTCTGGGGCTTTAAGAAGTGGGACTTCTATGGCTGAGAATTTAATATTCTTGAAAGACTCAATAGTGTTCAATAAATACGTGACGAATACGCGCTAATTGCTAACATATATTACAGCAGTTTATACGGAAACCGTCGAGAGTCGGCGTCGCAGCGAAGATCGGTCTTCAGCTGGGCGGAGAGAGAAAGCGCCGCGACCCCGGGCGCACCCGCACCAGGTAGGTACGCACGCGCGCACAATGTGCACGCAACACGAGACTCGCGGCTGCTACCGTTCTTTAGAACTATGCTGGGAGGTGGCGATGATTGAGAACTTTTCAACTTGGACTTGCTGCTCCTATAAAGGGGCGAGCGGTGACGTTCTTATTGTTTTAGTTAGAAAGTGTTTTTTCGTCTCAAAAATTTTCGTCTGAGTGTTGCATGTCGCGTGACGGTCGGCCGCGGAGCAGGGATAAAGTGAAAGGCGCTCTTCAGAGCAACCAAAGCCAATATGGCGGCGGGTTCAATAAAAATATTAGTTGGAGACTTGGTTTACTTTTATGCTTTCCTATTATCATTCCAATTTTCCAAATATAAAATTAAGGTTGATAAAGCGACTTTTATACCCTTAATGGAATATTATTCCAATTTTTTTTTGTTATTATTTTTGTTGGTATTCATGTGGTATTATTTAATAAAACCATATTAACTAAACTAAATAAAAGGTTTCACTTTTACCGTGATTTCTTAAAACCACACAATCCTTTTTTTTTGTCTTTGATGTACTAACTATGCAAATGGAAGGATTTGATTCGAGCACCTACATCCCGGCAGAGCGTAATAATAAAGAAAGAAGAAGAAGATACGACTCGCAAGGTTCACCCGGTGCCTTACCACCATTGTGTTCTGTTGCAGAGTGACGGCAGGAGGATGCGACGTGAGCGAGCTCTGCCGGCTTCCTTCCGCCTGCTAGCAGCCGATGCTGCCCACTCGCACGCGCACGACCTGCCGGTAACAAAACCAGCCTTTTGTTTCTTTATTTGAATATTAAAAAAAAATCTATTATAAAAAAAAGGCATGCCCGCCGAGTTTCTTGCCAGTTCTTCTCAGGACGGAGGCTAGTTTTTGTGAATTGGCGGTAGTTCTTTTTGATGTTCAACAAGTATATACTTTCATTTATGTTGAATAATTATTTTTTTATTTGATTTGATTTATTTGTTGATTAAATAGGTGGGCGAGCTCACGATCTACCTGGTATTAAGTGATCATCAGACACCATAGATATCTACAACGTAAAGGCTGCCACCCACCTTGAGATATAAGTTCTAACGTCTCAAGTATAGTTACAACGGCTGCCCCGCCCTTCAAACCGAAACGCATTACCGCTTCACGGCAGAAATAGGCAGGGTGGTGGTACCTACCCGTGCGGACTCACAAGAGGTCCTACCACCAGTAATTACACAAATTATAATTTGTTGGGTTTGATTTTTATTACACGATGCTTACACCTTCATCTTAGAAGTCATTCGTGAGCTATTGTTAATTAAGTCTTTCATCGGAAAATTTGGTACCTGCATGCGGGATTCGAAAACCAACAGAGTCGCATCGCTCCAACCCAGTACGTGGAGTGTCTTATTCTTTAGGTTAAGTAAGCACTTGTTTATATTTATGTCATTCGCGGGTATTTACTAAAATATAAGTATATATTATACTTATTTTACTATGTATTATGTAAATATTGTTATGTCATTCGCGGGTATTTACTAAAATATAAGTATATATTATACCTATTTTACTATGTATTATGTAATGCAATTAGTATGTGTATTGTATCAGAGCACCGGGGGCAGCAACTGGGAGTGCGGCCCGCGCGAACAGCCCCGGAGAGCCGCCAGCGTCAAGGTATGTACCGACGTGCTGTAGCCCACGGACTACCCGAGGTCCAGTCCCGTGCTGGCAATTTAATAAAGATATTCCCCTTTAATATATCGCACATAATACATAATATTCCACACATCTCTAGTCGTAGTTCCCGCTATCTGACAATAGATGGCGTTGTAATTCTCGATCATTCTGGATCCTTCGATATTCGTTCGACTATTCGGCGATAGATGGCGTTACTCTTACCGGCGTAACAATATCATTCTTATATAGTTCTGCTAGACTATAGAAATGAAATAATATTTAAACTACAACTTTAAACTTCATCAGTAAAAGCAAACATCTCTTTCGTCTCACTAATAACTATTAAAAAATGTATTTTCTCATACTCTATTCAGTGTTAACAAAAATTGTACAAGTGACTTTATAGCACCGTATCTGCGATGTATTTATTACCTTTTAAAGCCTCTGGTGCATGAAAATTTAAATATAATAATTGAAGACATGAGTGGATGAAGGGGATATGATACATTTTGTTAATTTTGAGAAAACGGGCAACGACTTTTGTTACTTTTGCTTTTTCTTCGTATAAAACTCCTTCATCACATGCTATTTCTAAAAATAGCCCTTAAACCTGGAGTTTTAAGGTCTAATATGGTTTATAGGCACATAACACCTTCATTCAATGTAAAAAACAACACGTCATTTCGGATCCTCTCGATCCACTTACGGTGCTTTTAGGTACCTCAAGCACCGGTCATCGTTCTCGTCGAACCCGTCGCTTGCGACGAAGGGCTCGACGAGTAAATTAACTCTCAGACACAGCCCACTGAGTTTCTCACCGGATCTTCTCAGTGGGTCGCGTTTCCGATCCGGTAGTAGACTCTGCGAAGTACTGCTCTGACTATGGCCAGTGTTAGCAACACTCCGGTTGAGCCCCGTGAGCTCACCTAGACGTTAGGGTGAAGCTGAAATAGCCTCTCAAGGCTATCAGCTTAGGTAGGAAAAAAAAAAGATCTCTTGCAGATAACCGTTTTTATCGTTTTTATCTGGGTAAGGGCATACAGGATGTATCGTGTTAAGTTCCACGAGCCTGGCTGTACCCGTAGTACGGCACGGGAGGCGGCTGGCGGGGATGCCTCCAGAGCTTCCTCGAGAACCGAGTGCAGCTGGAGGTACCCCCGCCAGCCGCCCGCCCGGTCCGCAGACGTGACGGTGTGACGGTGTGACAGGTCACGTGCGGTGAGGACGAGTCCTCCCTGGAAGACGTGGCGGCCGGCCTGGACCTGTCCCTCTCGCTGCCCGACTGCAAGATCATAGCCAACAGGAATGCCAGGTGCGGACGATACTAATTAGACTATTCGGGGAATAATAATAATATAACTCTTTATTTGACACCACATGTACCTTCACTGGTGGTAGGAACTCCTGAGAGTCCGCGCGGGTGGGTACCACCACCCTGCCTATTTCTGCCGCGAAGCAGTAATACGTTTCGGTTTGAAGGGTGGGGCAGCCGTTGTAACTGTACTTGAGACCTTAGAACTTGTATCTCAAGGTGGGTGGCGCTGTGGATGTCTATGGGCTCCAGTAACCACTTAACACCAGGTAGGCTGTGAGCTCGTCCACGCAACTAAACAATAAAAAAAAAATTGAACGCGAGCGACACCCCGGGGGGCACGATGAATAAAAGTGCTGCAATTGTATTTCACAGATTTTTCATAAACGAAGGCACATCGAAGGACCTCTCGAAGATAACCAGGGAGATCCGCCACGAGCGGGAGAGCCACCGCGGGCTCGCCGGCCGCTACACGGAGCGCCCCGACGCGCCGCCCGCCGACCGGGACGCCGCACTCAAGAAGGACAGCAAAAAGGAACCGAAAAACAAGGAGATAAAGACTAAAATCAAACGTTCCGAATCTGGCAGGTATGTTCAAATATAAAGACTTTTTGAAGTTATACTTCTTTAGGCGCGTTATGAAAAATTGATGAGAGTGAAATTTTACGATGCGCGCGCACCGTGACACAAAATTAACAGAATGAAGTTGCCCACTAAATCGCTCATTACAATACGACCGACGTAACTTGGCGAGTCTGAATATAGCCGCAGGTGAACTTTCCGAACCGTACCGAAAATTACCGAATTTATACGATGTCAAGAAAAGGGATGTCCAATATGCGTGTTTGAGGATGTTGTTTAAACGTTTTTTTTTTTCAATTTAATTAAAATTTAAATAAAAAATAAAAAAGAAATAAATTTAATAAAAATAAAGTATAATTTCTTACGCGCGTACATAAGTACACGCACCCTTTTTGAAGTGAAAACTTCTTTAGAATCGTTGTGATTTCAAACCGGATGCAACGTAAAAAACGACAGGTAAGAGACACAAATACAAAAATGTGTAGGATGAAGCCAGCAAAGAATGAGACAGAAATATACATACTATTTAATACAGCGCCATCTGTGAGATTTTTTAATACTAACATGTGTATGAAAGCTCTTGTAGTGAATTTTAATTTAGGATTATACGTGAAATTAAAATATCAATTCACAGAGGGCGCTCGCTACCTTACAATTATTTACTAATGACAAAATTTTACATATACTTAAGACGTTTAGGATAATTGTATTATGTGTTCCGTTTGACGTCCGAAGTCCATTATGAGAGTACATCGTATGATTTCCACTGTAGGTCGCTAAATTTGACTACTTCCGTTTCCTAAGTCCCACCTACAGCGCCCTCTATAACGTCTGGAATCGAACCAACAAGCAAAGACAAGCCGCCATATTTGTCATTGTTGCGTCGTTTTTTCCCACGTGCAGTCGTTAATATTTTAAGAAGTTAGTAATTTAAAATGTTATAAGCAACTTTCGAGATTTGAAGTAGAAAGTTTGTTTCAAACAAGTGTTATGATTATCTTCCGTTTCGTGAAACCTCCAAGGCTCTACAATGAGTGATGAGGTTATCGCGCCTTTTCAAAGTAAAATTTAAGTGAGGATAGTTCTTCGATTTCTTCGGATATTTGTTCGGGTTCGTCGGAAAATAAAGACGAGGGACCAGCAAGAAAACTTCGAAAGCGTGACTGGTCGCGAGATCTGAATAAAAGGTTTGACTTACTGTCGCAATAATGGGTGAGTCATGTGAATAATATTTTAACTTCGAATCATGCTATTGCTGGTCGTGCACCAGCCTTTACACTTACAAATACCAACATCTTATAATAATAATGTCTGATGTGGTTTCAACTTCCAATCGAAATTAGACAACGACGAATAGTTTTTACGTCCGCCACCAGACCGTCCGTTACCAGAAGCGGGTAGGTTTTGAAATTTGAGCGTTTCTATAAAA